ACGAGCCTCAGAAGAACCAGATCCTCGAGGTCAGTTCTCACCACACATCCACCTGCTTAATCGTTTGCTTCTGCTATGTTCAAAGAAATGACGTCTGCAGAATTACATATTAGAAGAAGCTGAGTATAGTCAACCATTTTTTGCAACATTGAAAAATACTTTTTCTGATTCATGTTTGCGGTACGAGTTGGGAATCAGGTTTAAACTTGTACAATACAGTAGGGCTGCTCGATTATGGAAAAAATCATAATCTCGATTATTTGGGTCAATAATTGATATCACGATTATTAAAAATGATTATCCATTTACTTTGAAAATATCCATTTATTGAAACAAAAAAAACAGTATGTTTTTAACGGTTGATTACCCTGAACTTTAAGTATAATTCAACTGAAAAACCAATAATAAAAAAAAAAGATTAATAAATTAAAAATAAATTAAAAATAAATAAATAATAATAATTTTATTTAGATTACGTTGTTTTCATAATCGTTGCAAGCCAAAATCGTAATTGCGATTAAAATACGATTAATTGAGCAGCCCTACAATATAGGTTTATTTCCTCAAAAACAACACAACCTGCAACATGAGGTAAATCACTGTAGGTTAATATGGGTTACGTTTTGAGGTTAAATAACACAAACGCAGGGTGTCACTCTTATTATGAATATATCTGCTTTTGTAACAATTCAATTATTTGTCTTTAATTATACCATGTCCCTCCAACTTTTTCAAATCAGATTTTTGGAAAAAATAGGCTGAAAAGAGAATATTTTACACACTTTAGATCAAGTTTGTCATCCTTTTTGGGTTTCAAATCAGCAGCCTCACCCTCACAAACCTACTAATATAATATAAGCAAACGTTATATGTGACCCGCTCTATCGAAATCAGTCGGAAGTCGCAACGGCTCATTTCAAAAATAAACGTGGATTTGCGTAAAAAACTATTTTTTCGGGGTTTGGGTGTTTTGTTTGATTTTAAATAAACAAAGTCTTGGCTTTCAGAATATGAAACATTTATTTCCAAAATCACACGATAAATACATTCTTTAAACTTGTAAAGGGAAGATGACAGGCAATCTGCTGTTTCGCAGCGCCGCCCCCCTCCCTCTCGCTGAAATTATGAATGTAAGGCGTATCGTAATCATAGATAACACGGCAGGGTCCGTTACAGTTTGTTTTCATCTGATTTCAAATAAACAAAGTCTTGGCTTTCAGAATATTAAACTTGTTTCGGCAAATTCAGATGATAAATACAACTTTGAAGCTTCGGCATAATTACAAGCGGAGAACGGAGTAATTTAACGTCACAGCAGGCATAACAACAGCCGGTGTTTCTCGTGAGTGTTTTCCCCGGGAAACAAACACAATACACACAAACGCAAAATTACACAAACACACACACACACACGTATATACACACACACACACTCGCGAGCTTCCCCTCCAAATGAAAATATCTTCCCTCCGTAGTATTTTGATCATTTGCTAATAATCAATCAGATCGATGGATTCCAGAGAAGAGGAAACTTTGAAGGCCTTTTTCTCAAAATGATGACTCGGTGACAGTCATTATATAATGTGACATATTTCGCTTAATATTTGGAGTACAAAAACAATCCTGATATCATTAGAAAGCTAGGAGTATCCTCTTTCCAGCAGTGTATACAACTCAAAATGTGTCTCTGGGTCAATGCGACTGATTTCGATAGAGCAGGTCACATATTAACCAATCATTCGTTTCCCTTTTCTCTGTGTGTTTCCCCTCCTCTCCTTGTAGGAGTTGGAGAAGTGCGAGTCCAACCACCTGATGATCCTGTTCCGTGACGGCGGCTGCCAGTTCCGGGCGCTCTACTCCTACTTCCCCGACACCGAGGAGATGCAGAAGCTGACGGGAACGGGACCCAAGAGCATCACCAAGAAGATGATGGACAAGCTGTACAAGTACAGCTCCGACAGGAAGCAGTTCACCGTCATCCCCGCCAAGACTGTGTCCGTCAGCGTGGATGCCATCACCATCCACAACCACCTGTGGCAGGCCAAGAGAGGCACCGTGCCAAAGAAAAGCGGGAAATAACAGCCAGTTTCAACCCCTCCCCCCATCATCCAAATCATCTGACCACCATCTTGCTTGTTTCCTTAAATGACTGCATTGATGCCAAGCGCACCGCCATGGACACTGGAGAGCTTGCCCTTATGTCCATGTGAGGCCCTCTGTAGGTGGGCCCAGACAAAAACAAGGGAAAGGTGTGTGTGTGTGTGTGTGGTTGTGTGTGTGTGTGTGTGTGTGCGTCACAGGTGGTCGCATCAACAAGAGGAATGCTGGCTCAGTTAGTTTTTCTACGAGGGGCACGACTCAAGCATGTGGCATTTTGTTCCCTCTATCTTCCTCATATGTGGTGGATGTTCATTTTTACATGAAGTATTTATTAGTTCAGCACTGTCAAGAGCTCAGCTGCCGCACTAAAGTCCTTCCTTCTGTCTCCTTCAAAAAGGAGGGGACTTTGGGGGAATTCTGTCGCTCTTTTAGGGGGAAATCCGACGAAAGGGACCCTTGTGGGACTGCTCTGCGAAACAACGGACAACAATCTCTTCCTGTGTGGACTCAAATCTGTCGAATCAGGCTGGCATTGCCGATTTTGCCTCACCAGGGATCTCCAAAAACCTGCTGCTCTGATCTGTCTTCTTCTTTTCGTCACGGGGTGGGGGGGGGCCCTCGGGGTCTCCCTCAGACATCTGTTGGCCTTTCACGCATCGTGGTACTACCGCCTATTTATTCGACCGCTTTTTAAACTAGACGCTGATCGTGTAGCACTGGATATGTGTATAGCATTGAAAACAAAGTCATTTTAAATACTTTTTATTTGTCAAAACATCCTTTTTTCCCGAGGGTGTCATAAGAGGGAGAAGGATAGGTTTTGGTACAGAAATGATGATTCTTTTCTTTTTTTGCTTCAGCGTTTTTTATGATTGCAGCGACGTGGTAAAGAGCTGATGTTATGTGTTTTTATCATAACGGGAATTCTCTGATGTTTAGAGCTTAGTTGTGTTTTCTCTCTCCACTGGGCACTCTCTGATTGTCCTGTATAAAGGTGCACTCATGAACACTTGTCGACGGCTTCCTTCATGCAATGTAAACCCCGCCCCCCCCCCCCCCTTCCTGGGTGTTTTTGTCGACCTGTTCCATCTTTTACCACGAGAGCGGGACAGACGTGTTGGGGAGGGTGGTTTCTCGCCGCTCCAAAGGGTTTGTGTGTGTGGGGGGGGGGGTGGTTCAGTTCAGTACCAACATTAAAGAACATTCCTCTAAGATGTGGACAAACACTGCCACGTCGTCTCTCTTCTCTCTGTAAATCTAAGTGCTTTTTGAACCATTCGTTGGCCTGGAGATCAACCAGAAGTGTTGCACGAGCACTTTACTTTCTGTTTGTTGGGGAATCTTAGCTTTCTAAATGGGCATGAAAACTACAAACTCATCGATAACACTGCTGCCGTAAAATGTGTTCAAACTAAACCAAACACTAAGAGTGAATACTGACATGTAAAGCTGATACTACTGCTGTCTCCAAAAACAGAAACTTGATTTCTCATTTGCTGCATTGACTTGTTTTTAGGTGGCAGATCCGTAATTGTATGCAAGTTTCTTTTCATGTTAACTAAACGATTGTACCGGCATTTGGTCACCAATTTTGTTACACTAGTGTACTTTTCATCTTCATTGATTTTATCTTTGATCCCATGCCATCTATTTATTTTACAAAATGGAAGCACTGAAACAATAAATGTTCAAGTGAATAAAAGTCACATCTTTCATTTTTCTCATGGCTTAATTTGTCCATTTGTTGTATACCACTATTTGTGTATTTTTATTTTTGCAAGTTTTTTTTACACCACACTGATTATACACTGCTCACTTACAAGACGTTTTATTTTTTACTTTTTTTTTTTAACCACAGGCAATGCTGCATCTTTTCACAGAATTGTTTATTTTTCGTCACATTTATGAGTTAAAGGTCTTCTATCATGCAAAATGCACTTTTTGATGTATTTTATACATATGTGTCCCCGGTGTGTCAGGGAACTCACACAGCGTCAGAAAATAAAACTCTCTTTTCCTCCGTACCCAAATTTCAAAAAACGGGGCTACAACGGAGCTGATCCAGATTTGCGATATGAAGTCATATCGTCACAGAATTTACAGTGTGCCTGGTGCTCAAAAGGGGGCGGGGCCAGAAGATAATCAGCCATTCTCTAACAGGGCTGACACAGAGGGATATGAGGGATGTCTAAAATGCATGATCTGTTTAATATTTTGAGCAAAACACATATTTGTATATATCTGAGACCCATAATATATTCCTAAAAATAGCATGATAGGAGGTCTTTAAGGGGCCCTATTATGCTGTGTTGGTGTTTCCCCTTTCCCGCAGTGCGTTATAGGTTGTTGTGAATGTAAATGTTCTGCAAAGGCTAATCCCCCCCCCCCCCCCCCCCGCCTGAGATGCCTCCATTGTATACCTTTGTTGACTTCTGTAACATAGTGGCATCCCATACGTGACACTTGGCTTGTGCTCCAACACATTGAGACACTAATATCACATGGTTGTATAAACATTTTAAAGCTGGGATTTAAAAATGCATCACTCAACATGATACTGTGTTTTCTAATTTAAGAAATCTAAATAGTGAAAACATCTCCGGGCCCCCCTTGTTGCTACCCTCCACCACCCAACTGGAACAGCGTCTTCAGTAGGCTACCCGCGCTCTTTACCATGGCAACAGTGTTTCTCTTCACACCTGCTGCTTCAGGTGATCACAAGACCCCCCCGACCTGACCAACTGTCACTGCAGGCAGAGTCCAGGCTGTAGACCCTACTGAGTCAATCAGATCAGTTATCATGAAACGTAAGTGCACATATTCCTCCTCCAACGTGTTGTAACTGATGTTGAACTCGCAGCATTGACTCCTCTGTTTCTCTTCAGTTGTTGCAGGTCTCGTGCTGATGCTGGTAAATGTGAATCTGAGCCAGTCGTGTTTCGGAGTTGAAAACGTTTTATTATGCCAGGAGATGCCAACAGGTATGGACCTTATATTTGGCTGATTTTAGCCTTTAATTAAATCATAATGTATTGTGATGTAATTTCTTCCACTCCAGTGTTATAAAAAGTGTACCTCTAATCTATTTCCTTCAAAATAATTGCAAAAAAAGAGTTAAAAAAAGTTTGAGTGGTGTTGGTTAAAAGGGTAGTCAGACAAACAATTACTGTGATATTGACCTGCATGGATTAAAGGTTTTTCATATCTGAACATATGTATCTCTTTATCATGGTCAGAAAGGTTAAACGGGCTGTTTTATGCTTATGGGGTTTTTCTTTTCCTGTATACTATATACGTTTTTGTGCATGTAAATGGTCTGCAAAGGCTAAAATCCAAAAGTAAGTTTCTCTCCCACACACTTCCCCCCCCCCCCCCCCCCCCCCCCCCCCCGCCTGAAACGCCTCCATTTTAGTCTTTGTTTACTTCAGTAACATAGTGACATCACAAAGTTCTATTGGTTGGTACTCTAGCTAACACATTTTAAGCTATAGGTTAAAGGGTTGGACATCTCTAAGCGGTTGACCAATCATAACAAGCCGGTCAGCTAACCCATCAGAGCAGCCACAAAATAAGAAAACTAACCTGAAAATGAGCAGAATATGGCCCCTTTAAATCTGGGTATGATACATTGTGTATATCAGCCACTAGATGGCAGCAAAACATTACTTTGAAATTGCTCAATACAAAAAATGTAGTAAATGGAGTACTTTGTTTCATTAACAGTGAGACATTGAGGTTTCCTTTTATTGCATTTACAAAACATTTGTTTCTGTATAAGAGGTTATCATACTATTTTTAATGCAGATGTTTTCATGTCCAAACTGCTATTCTTTGAAGGTAACTTCTTCAAGTTCCACGTGCCTAAATATAATAATAATAATGCTGTGCTTTTTAGTTTTCCCTCCTGGTATATCCAATCTGGCCTTTTCTATGAACGGCGTTGGGGAGATAAACTCCACTGTGTTACGCAGTGAGAACCTCACCTCTGTAACGCACCTCCAGATAGAGAAATCAGGAATCACAGGAATCGCTGAAGGCGCCTTCAGTTCTTTCGAGAACCTCACAAATCTCAATTTGAACAAGAACTTGCTGACCGAGATCAACCCAAAGTGGTTGGGTGGTCCTCATATCCTCAGAGACCTCAGCCTCGCAGGAAACCAGATAGAAGCTCTGAATGAGTCCATGCTGCACGGCCTCGATAGCCTCGTGAGGCTCAGTCTGAATAAGAACAAGATCAGAACCATCCATCAAAATACGTTCAGCTCTAACTCCGTCCTGGCTGAGTTGGACTTGTCTGGGAACAGGATGACTTGGGTCTCCCCTCAGGTCTTCCAGTCCCTCAGGTCCACCCGGGTCAGACTGGACGGGAACCCCTGGAACTGTTCCTGCGGGGCTGGAGACTTTGTGGACTTCCTGAAAGGTTAGTCAAATATAAAATTCAGAAAACAGGAAGTCATTGCAGAAACCTAAAGCTGCTGCTCTGCTCAGATCTGCAGAACAGATCTCTGCTGGACAGACCGATGGACGTGACCTGTGAGAGTCCTCCGTCTCTGAGGGGTCAGCGAGTGTGGAACGTGTCTGTGTGTGTGATGCCCCCCCCACCACCAACAGCGCCTGTAACTCCAACCTTCAAACCCTCTACCATCCTCACATCAGGCCCCACATCCACATCTGGTACATCCTGTTTGATATTTGACATTCTTTACCATTACATCGTGATTTTTCCCACTTTTTACAATATATCATTTGTGCTTAGTATCTCTGTTGTTCCCTCCTAGCAAACGTTGTAACAATATCTCCATCACAAACTCCATCAGAGACACTAACCTCTCTACAACCCAAACCCACTGACGCACCCACATTAATGTCCTCACACACCGGTACATGTCGCTCTTCTTCTCCTAGTTTCTGGTTTGAATTGTTTTCCATTAGAGTTTTGAATAAGTGTTTGCTTAGTATTTATTTTGTTCTCTCCAGCATCACATCCACCACGACATCCATCGGAGACACAAACCTCCGTCCAACCTGAACCCACCACGGTCGCTTCAACTACTTTAAAGTCTGATTCATTTAGTAGGTTTTATTTTTATTGTAAAAAATAAATAATGTGAATCTGTGAATCTGTGAAAAAAAAGTAGTACAAGTGAAAATGAAAACTCTGAACTCTTTGGAGCAGCTTACTAGAGCCTTGCTGCTTCATAACATGTTCAGTAATAAAGTTGCACATCATGTTATTGATTTATTTATAATATCGATAAACGTCTGATAATAAAGGGCTTTTGTTTTGGAACCTTTAACTTCAGGCCATCCACAACCCCCACCTGACTGACTGAATATTGCCTTCATTAAAAGAAGGAAAAAGTCATTCACAGAATATCTTTGCTCTTTTACCAAGAAAAACAACTCAAAAAGTATTTCATCTTTATTCTTAAAATCAGTTTTATTTGTCATGTGTCTCTTAAACTAAGATATTGGAAACTCAAGAACACATGGAAAGAACATATTATTTATATTGTTCAGGATATTGAAAAAGTTGCCCACCTATTTCACTGAAATGTGTTCTTTGTCAACAGCACCACCCTGTGGTCATTCATAGAGCTTGTTATATTCTCATGCATTACTTCCTAACTATAAGGAAGGACAGTATTTTGGATTTATTTATTGAAGATAATGTAAATATTGATCAAAACAAATCTGTTAGCGTATCTTGTTCTAAAATATGGATTGTTTAGATCTTATGACTTCTCAGCAGGACTGTCACTGAGTCTGGCGTAGATTAAACCAATTGTAAACATTTGTTTCTCATTACATTTAGAAGACTTTGTTGTTTGAACAGCTGCTCTCTTTAATGTGTCTGTTGTTTACTCTAGCAACTGGTGTGACATCAACTACATCAGTGACAGAGTTCTCTGTCCATCCTAAACCCTCTGAGCCCTCCACAATGACCCCTACACCTACACTTACACCTACACCCACACCTACACCCACTCGTAAGCCTGGTTCTTCTCTGCTTTTGACATTTAGACGTTTAGAGTCCAGATTCTGGGAATCAAAACAGGTTGAAAGCCCTAAACCCTGGGAGTCTAAAATAAATTGGTTTAAAATGATATGTTAAGGGAATCAAAAAACAGGTTTAAATATCCAAGGTTCAGAGAAACTATAAACATTACGTTTAAAATTCTTATTCAGGGAATCTAAAAAAGAAAGGGAAGTTTCTGGGAAACTTAAAAAGGTCTCGGGAGGCTTTACTAGAAAGGTGTATTCATGTGTATTATATACCTGTGGTATTCATGTTTATTATATACCTGTGGTATTCATGTTTATTATATACCTGTGGTATTCATGTTTATTATATACCTGTGGTATTCATGTTTATTATATACCTGTGGTATTCATGTTTTATGTTTCTTTTATTATCTTTGCTTTTTAATGACTGTTGTTAAATGTCATGTTATAACGTGTTTCTGCTGCACTATGTCTTGATGCTCTTAAAGCACTTTGTGTTGAAAGGTGCTATAAATGAACTTGCCTTGCTTTATGCATCTGTTGTTTATTCCAGATACTTGCGTGACACCCCGACCAACAACAGCTACACACATGGTCTGCACACTCTTTGGTGTGATAGGTAAGCTATGTTTGTTTGTTGCATGTTTCAGTTGGATTTCCTAAGCCTATGATCAGATGCTTGTCCATGACTTATTCTCTGCAGCGGTCCTGGTGCTGCTCCTGTTGGCGCTGTGTTTCCTGATAGTTCTGCACAGGAGGAAACGCAGCAACAAAAGCGTGATGCCCATCAGTCCAGAAGAAAACAGGGACGAGTTAAGAGAAGACAGCAGATCTCAGTCTCCGGGACACTCTGAGAAAACAGAAATCAGCCGGTGGGACTCAGAGACGGGATGGAGGAGATCCTTCACTGGAGTCAGAGCTAAGTCGGCAAATGCTATTCTCTTTGTGTCTCCTTTCTGTACTCCTGGGAAAGACCAAGTGACTTTACAAGTGAAGCCGAAACAGGGAGAGCACACCGGAGGAGACGGAGAGAGTGAGACAGAAGATCCCACAAATGAAACCAATGTAATAACAGATGCTAAACAAGCCAATGCTGTTGTGAATCGAGATGAAACCCTGCACTGTGTGTCTATACATACTAGCACTGTACCTTATCTGAGCATTGGTACAGTCCAGAATAAACCAACTTCTGAGGACTTTAACAAACAGGACACTGATGCAGGTCAAAGGTCACAGAGAGTGATAGGGAGGATCTCCACCTGGCCTCCAACTGCAAGTCAGTGGCAGGCAAGGTGTAAAATGAAGGAGGAGGGGTCTGAAGAGTTCACTGACTGGACACTGAAGTGTTCAGGTGAGGTGGTGAAAGGGTTAAAGAAAGAGCAGCATCCCTTTGCTTCTGATCAGGATGAGCAGGAAGGGGAAACTGAGAACAATCAAGATGATCCCTTAGAAATGAACGTGGCTCACATGACATCTCAGGCCTTAAAACAAAACGATGAGACCCTCTCTCTCAGTGAAGACCTTTCCCACGCTGACAGGCTAGAAGAGCAGCTAAAGCAGCAGGAGGAGGGGATCCAGGATGTTGCAAACCTGACTCAAAACCTGACTCAGGCTCCAAACCAAGATCAGAAATCTGCAGGAAATGCTGAAAGCAAGAGCAGCAAGACGAGGAGTGAAGCGAGCAGGCAGAGGGTGATGAAGGCTCCCTCCGGTGGAGCCTCGCCCGATGATGAGACCCTGCTGTCGGGCAACCAGTACGCCTTCATGGACCTCCTGCACCAGGTGTCCCAGAACCACGGCCGCACCACCAGAGACCGGTGGAGGCAGATCCACGTCACCAAGCAGCGGCAGAGGGGCCGAGGGGCGGAGGATGAACACGTACCTGACATCAAATAGTGTCGATTCATTGTCACTCTTATAATTACTATTTCACCTTGTGCAGTTAAACATGATTTTTGTCAGCAATTGAAGGTATCATTTTATATTAGGGATAAATAATCATTTGCTTTTGTTGGCAAGAAGAAGAATAGATGAATATAACTCTGTCTAATGAAGGGATTTTGTTTTTAGCCCCCTCAAATGTGTAGATTTCTTGTATTCTTTGTTTTATATCATATTTAACTGAATATGTTGGGGTTTTACTGACAAGACCACATTTAAAGAGCTAGGCATTTGAGAAACTGGTATGAAATGATATTGCTGTTTCACATTTTAGTTGAAAAGACAAACAAATAAAGGACGGTTAAAACCTACAGGTGTGAGATATACTGACAGTCAGGTTGGGTGTAGTTCCAAGAAATCCCACACTTTCCCTAATTTAACAGAGCCTTTAACATTACCTGCTTGTGTACTTTGAATGTAATCATTGTTCATCATTCAATCACTGCTTTAGACCCTCAAATGTGTACATTTCTTGTTTTACATCATATTTAACTGAATATGTTTGTGTTTTTTAACTGACAAAACTACACATTTAAATAAATCACCTCAGCCTTTGAGAAATTGGCATGAAATTATTTTACGGTTACACATTTAAGTTTAAAAAAGTCAAATGATTTACTTCACCTGCTTCTGTAGGTTGAACACTTTATTCTCAGATAGTCTTATTATATAATACTTATTCTGATTTAATATCATTCTGATAAAATTAAACTACAAATCATTGACATGTGATTGTACTCATATTCACCATTCAAGTACAATGTATGGCCAAATAAAAACAACTTTCCATTCCTCGTATCTGGCTGCATGCAGCGTTTATTTGTTCCTGTTATACGTCGAGAAGAACACTTGCTTCCCATAAGAAATAGTACAAAATGGATCAACCCCTTTTTGACGACGACTTGAGAGCATACAGTTGGAGGTAAACATAATACGTAGGCTTCTTGATAACACCTGGACACAACATGCATGTTCCATTCATATAAATACACAGTATCAAATAATGGCTCCAACTTGCAAGCAGTTGACTGGATTATGGGGTTCCTAGTATTGGGACGTCTCACTAAATGTACAAAATGTATCGTTCTTGGCAAGCTTGTATATCAAAACATGCTGTTGAGTGTTTGCATGCCCCCTCGTGGTATTTTTAAGTAGGAGGGTAGAGATTTTTCAGGCGTCAGGAGAGAGGAAGACGTTAATGGATGGATCAACTGTGTCTTCCATCGCGGTCGCTCACACTCCTCCGCGCTCCTGCTCTGTAAACGGACACTGCTGCTGACACATATCAGCAGTACATTTCAAATGGGGCAAAACACATACAGGTCAACATAAAAAAAAGCAGATTGCTCAAAAACAACAAAAAACAAATCCATCTGAGATTACTTCACTTCTTTCACATATAAATAAGAATGGCACTCAACCAAATACGCTTTCAAACATCTGCAAAGATGAATCGCACCACAGGAATGCTTGAATACTCCACTGTGTCGTACAGATTCAGATTAAAGGGTCATGCTGTTCTGCTCTTCACGTCCCCAGAGAGCTTAGTGCAAAAATACTTCAAGTCCTCTCTCACTTCGATCACACGGAAGAGACCGAAACAAAACGGCAAAAACAATGGATATATAAAGTTACTGTTTACAGAGAACCAAACATAAATCAAGATTAAATACTGCACTCTGACGCTGCCTTATACACGAGGTGTGGCCTGTATCATCTGGAGAGGAGAGCACTTCGTTTTCAGGTCAAGTGCGCTCAAAATAGAAACGGTACAGGACATAAATGTGCCGGCGCTGTCTGTGCAAAACCATTCTGCTACCAGTAGAACTGAACATTCTTGAGTTATGGAACTTCAACGTAATTGAACTAAACGAGAGTAAAACTAAAACACTAGAGCCTGATCCATGCTTAATTTCTGTGGCTGATATTTTAAAGGTCCCATGTCATGCTTTTCCGGTTATTAGGCTACCCGTCCCCTTGTGTGTTATGTAGCTTTTTCTGCATGTAAAGGGTCTGCAGAGTCACACACCCTCAAAGTACACCCTCTAGCGCAGTGGTTCCCAACCTTTTTTCCCCAAGAGCCCCCCCCCAAATGACTCCTGTTGGAAGTTTTTCAGACACGTAAACTCTTAAAAAATCACCAGCGGGGTCACTGCTGATGTATTTAATGTCGAAGAACAAAACGTGATCCGTCTCTTCAATTTGTGTCAAACACAGACCTTATTTGGAGCTATTTTCCTAAATCCTATGGAGAAATTGCATTGCTTTTTATCGAAGGAACCGGACGTGGTAAAAATGCTAACTTACTTCCGGGTTTTAGGACGCGTCACTGCGGTTCTCTATTGGACTCAGGATTAATTTATTTGGATTCCCGCTGAATAAATAAATTGAAGGACGGCGCAAGTGGAAACAATTCACAAAGGGATTAAACTGTTTAAAAACACATGCTCAAAGTAAACCGGATTTTGCCGATGTGTTTATGTGGATTCAAAAATCGTAAATAATCTACAAAATGGAGGAGACCGATCTGATTGGAGCAACTGTGACAAATAATCCAATTGAAACCGGCATGGACAATGACTATGTTTTAAAAATGCGCTTATCCAGACAAGCCTGGTTTGGACACTTTATGGGCAGAAGAAACATTTATATTAAAGAAAGAATTATACATTTCTGTCTTTTTATGCCTTTAATACTACCTTGAATTTTTATTAAAATTAATTAGTCAATTATTTTTTATATTTTATTATAATGTAGAGACAAGGCTTTTAGTGACAATCATGTATTGCCTTACAATTGTATGTAAAAAAAAAAAAAAAGTCGAAACATTATATTTGGCCTCAAATCATCTGAGGCCTGGCGCCCCCCCCTGCGATCTTTGGCGCCCCCCAGGTTGGGAACCACTGCTCTAGCGAGTAACACTCTAACACAGAAAATACCTGTCTATGCTGCCCCAGAACGCCTCGTTCGAGATTTTTCTTTTTCCATTTTTTCCTTCCTGGTCATAGTGACACATGCCCAGGTCCAAATGGACCAATCCGCGGAGCTCCGCACACACACACTCAGCCTTATCTTTTCTCAGCCGTGGTGCTGATCGTGTGTGTGTGTGTGCTCAGACTGAGTTCCGCGGTGTCTCGCTGCAGACCCCACGCAGCAACCAGGAAACGACACCAGTAATCCAGCTCCCACTGTCCGCTCCTCGAGCCCCGCAACGTCCCGCCAACACGGCACCCAGACCCCACGCAGCAACCAGGAAACGACACCAGTAATCCAGCTCCCACTGTCCGCTCCTCGAGCCGCGCCAACACGGCACCCAGACCCCACGCAGCATTCTCATCTGTTTGTCATTACTGGTGTCATTTTCTGGTTGCTAACAAACGCCATTGTAACACATAATCACTGATGTTCCGCTGTAACGGTGGTGGACTCATCAGAACAGAGCACAGTGGACTCATAGGGAGGGAGGGAGGGGGGCAGGAGCTCCAACAAGCCGTTTAGGACAGTGAATACACATACTATACAGAGATGCTGTATGAGAAACCAATGTGATTTTGGAGCATTGCACAATGTAAATCTATTCTAGAATACCTCAACAATGGAATTATGATCAGTAGAACTGGCCAGGACATGGGACCTTTAAGGTAAAGCACTGTTGATAGTTACTGCCCAATATTAGTTTTTCTTTTAACAAATATAAGAATACCTTCAAGTAAAGAATTTATTTGTAATATATTCTTTCTAGCTTTAATAAATAAATAAAAATACCAGTCAATGTTTTTTGGCAATTATGAAGCCACCGCCAGGAGGATGTTAGCTTAGCATAAACATTGAAAGCAGAGGGAAACAGCTAGCATTAAAGTGCCTCCTAACATCACTAAGTAACACTAAATAGCTTGTTTAATCAGCACAAAAGTAAATCAAAAAATCCACTTTACATTGTTTTTGTAAAGATTTAACCGAGAAAACAACTTTTTAATCATAGCTTTCGAGGTCCTGCTAGCTGCTTTGATTACCTTAGCTTTTAGGCTAAGCTAAACTAATTTCCTTCTGGTTTTAGCTTTATGATTATCACACAGACATGATAATGTGTCAACTCAAGATATGTTTTTTTTCAGAAATGTAAAACTGTTCTTTTAAATGTGATTATTAGAGTTGTGACCAAGATATGTACTGAGTGATACGTTTCACATTTGAATAGACAAACGTGTGTACATTTCAATACAACTACAAATGAAAGAACAAAGAACACATGATTATACATAAGTTAAGCTAAGAAAAATAAGACTCTAAAAATATATTAAACAAAAGTAGAACATTTTGTGGGCAAACTTTTTGTTAAAATAGCCACGTGGACATTTCAACTTCTATGACATATTTTGGATAATTTAAAGCAGGGTTATATATTGGCCCGGCAAATAAAATCAGTCAGGCTCTTAAACAAAACAAACAATGATATCATAAAGCAAATGCAAAATGGCACGTAATGTACAAATCATTGTAAAGTTATTTACAAAGAAAAACAGTCAACTAAAGAATGGCACATTCTGTATAGCAGACATCATATGGGACACTTAAAATAGTGAAATAAATTAACAATATTCATTCTTTGACAATAACCACAACAAAAATCAGTGTCCAAAACACAACAGAGAAAAATGCTGACAATTCTAATATGGCCAAAAAAAGTGCCACTATAGAGTATATTTAGATAAAAAAGTTTGTGCTCATAAAGAAAATGGAAATGTCTGTTTTTAGCAGACGTAATTAATAGAATCAATAGAAACTCAGAGCATTTACTTGTAAGGAATGCGATTAAGATGTGGCGGAGGATGCAGTTGCCTCTGGATTATTTTCGTAGTGAGTTTAGACGGAAAAGGGCGTCGAGGAAGTGGGCGACTTCCCCCCCGAGTGAAATGTTCTACTATCCTGTACAGTGTGTGCACGTTAAACCTCCTACGACCGTCTAAACACCTCTCAAAACATCCCATCATCCCTCAGTGATCCACTTCCTGTTCCTGGTGCGAGGGGGGGCATGTGCGAGTACAGAGGTGTGCGAGGGGTGGGGTCGATGACGAGGTACTCTTCATCCATCCTCCGGTAGCAGCTCAGTGGGAAACAGTAGCTTTCTCATCTTTTTCTAAATGTTGATTCTTTTTCTGATCTGAGAGACACATGATGTGGATTCGCTCTGTGAGAGGAACATGCTCTCCGGGGTTAAGGTGTCAGGGTGTCAGGGACTGAGGGGCTTCAGAGGTGAGTCTCGTCTCTCGTCTCTGAGACAAAGTCCTGCTGGTTCCTGCGGGGCTGCCCCGTCTGGGATTCCTCGGGCATGTGAGCCAGCGGGTCGGACCGGATGATGTACCTGTGAGGACAACAACATCATCATCATCATCATCATTGTTGGGGAAATATTTTCCAAGGCCCATAACTTTGACCCAGTTTATCATTTCAAACTGTCCTGACTGAGCACACGCACCTGTAACCTTGGCTGCTGTGCTCTCAGTGTTCTGTCTCCCTGTTCCTGCCTGTTGGCGTCAGCTGATAGAGGTGTTATGATTCTATCTTGTTATGCAGCATGTTGATGATTCTCTCTGAACTAGCTGAATACACGGGTCTGGGGTAGAGTTCTTCAGATTTTACGTGGCAACTCTCCCGTGAAGTCAGAACCTCTGACTCGTGACTTGTGATGTGAATCCTCTGGCCGAAGCTCCAAATAAACCATCAGTGTTTGACATCAAAGCTCCAGCTCTTCCCGTGTCTCCTTCCTGAGTCGGTGACTCCCACTGCACTGCTACACAAAAGTTTCCCTTACAATCATCATCATCATCTGCCAGCATGGAGCGTGGAGGGACTGGGGTGTATGTCTTTATAAATCAAACGTTTAAATTAAATAAAGGCTCAAAGTTATTCATAATTAGCGGCGTGCTGCTTTGATTGATGTCAGAGGATGGGAGTATGTGGGTCTCCAGATCGTAAAGGCTACATGACAGTTACCAATACTAGCAGGCTAGGTTTAGGAATACGACATGATAACATCCGTATGTTAAAAGTTATCTCAGCTCATCATGTAGTCAGCAAAACAAAGGAGCTGATTGTGGATCAATGGGGGGGGGGCTGTGGCTCAGTGGATAGTGTGCTGGACTTCGAATCAGGGGATAGCGAGTTTGAGTCCCACTACAGTCAGCATGTCGTTGTGTCCCTGGGCAAGACACTTCACCCCAAATTGCTCCTGTGGGGATTGTCCACAGTACTGAATGTAAGTAAGTCGCTTTGGATAAAAGCGCCTAACAAATGACATGTAATGGATTACAGGAAGCAGCAGAGAGAGGGACACGCCCCCATCACCATCAATGGGACTACGGTGGAGAGAGTCAGCAGCTTCAAGTTCCTCGGTGTCCACATCACTGAGGACCTGACATGGATTCTTCACACCACCACCATCACCAAAAAAGCTCGACAGCGGCTCTTCTTCCTCCGCAGGCTGAGGAGGTTCAACATGGAATCCAGGATACTCTACAACTTCTACAGGTGCACCATAGAGAGGATCCTGACCTTCTACAGGTGCACCATAGAGAGGATCCTGACCTTCTACAGGTGCACCATAGAGAGGATCCTGACCTTCTACAGGTGCACCATAGAGAGGATCCTGACCTTCTACAGGTGCACCATAGAGAGGATCCTGACTGGCTGCATCACGGCCTGGTACGGCAGCTGCACCGCCATCAATCGTAAGGCTTTACAGAGGGTGGTGAAAACTGCACAGAACATCACCAGGACGGAGCTGCCATCCATGGAGGACCTTTACTCCCAGCGGCTCAGGAAGAAATCCCTCAGGATTATAAAAGACCCCATCACCCCAGCCACAAACTGTTCTGTCTGCTGCCGTCTAGCAGGCGTTACCGCAGCATCCGAACTAAAACCACCAGACTCAGGGACAGTTTCATCCCACAGGCAATAAGACTGTTAAACACCTGAATTGTTGTAACAACATCCATAACATTAATCGGCTACTTAGTAATTATTTATCTATTTCTCTAATATATCATTCCAATAACTTGCATATAGACTCTTATTGCACCATTTCAAACTATTTTTCTTTTTGTATTTACTATTTACTTGCACTATATTGTTCTGTTTATCTGTGTTGGAGAAGCCTGTGACCTAAGATTTTCATCGGCATAACTACTCTGTAGTTATGTTCGTATGACTAAATAAAGAACCTTGAACCTTGCTGCAGAAAGACCCTTCTTGGTAGCAGTCTGCTCTGCTAGGTAAACCCAGACCGCACCATCTCCACCTCTTTGCCCATTTTTAGAAAAGCCAGAAGTGAAAGCCAGAGTCTGCACTGCCGGGATTAAGAACCGAAGTTACAGTATATATTTTTAACTTCAGATAAAGACAGTCCAAATGTGTTTTTGAATAACACGTTGGAAAGAGAGAGCAGATAATCAAGGGTAGTAATACAAAAGGATGATATTGCAAGTTGAAATGAAGGTTTACACATGCTTTTAACTTGTCAAATTATTACAGACATATTACAAGATTTGCTCCACATTTCTTTTGCAATATGCATGAGAATGGGATAATTCATATTAAGTTTTCCAGTGTCATTGTAAATAAACGTTTCAGGAAAGCAGCATTTCTATGACATTCACTGCCCTGATTTAGTACACAGAGACTAATGGAAAAAGCTGTGGTTCTTACACGATGTCGTTGAGCTCCAGCACGGTGTCAGGGGGAGGGTTGATGAGGACGTAGGACAGCGTGTTCTGGTGGTCGTTCATCTCGTCTGGAGAGAAAGACAGAGGAGACCTTCAGAGCCGCTCTGGAGCCCCCCCCCCCTCGTCCACCTCCATTAAACAGGAAATGAACCCTCAAAATACGCGACTCCCACTTTTTAACCTTTCAGTGAGGACGAAGGAAAAGAAACCCACGTATGGAGCAGTGATGCCGTACTGCAGGTCGGCTTTTATCTTTGTTACAGTTTAGATTACACTTTAACGGCTTTAATTGCAGTAAATAGATTACACTTTAACGGCTTTAATTGCAGTAAACTGACAATGCAGTTTTTTGCTAGGAAATAAATAGCTTAATAGATCATTGGGTTCAATAGTATTCTGACGATTAGCCCAACAGATACTGGATTTGAGGCCGATACTGATATATATATAAAAAATCAACCTAATAACAATATATTACGCATTTTATTTACATAACACAAAAAAAATACAAAACAAATAACTCCTGTTATGGATGATTGGATTATTTTAAAGCTTTATAATTAAAATGTATGTTACTTGATTTAAACTTTTTACTATTTATTTTTGGTTTTAAACTATTTATACTTTTTGATCTAAATTACTGCTTTTTTTATTTAGCTTTTGATAAATTACTAATATTCTTTCTAGCTCAACTAAATATTTACCATTTAGATTTAAAGATCATTTAGTCAATTAAAGGGGACATATAATACAGATTTCCAGGTCCATTTTACAGTTTTTAAATTGAACATGTTTACATCCGTATATCAACAAAAAACATGTAATATTTCTTATACTGTGTATATTAAAATATCAGGATCTCTATCTAAATCGATCTGTTTTGCCTCCTGTCTCTTTAAGTCCCCCTTTAAAAAAATGCCCAGCCTGCTCAGGTTGGTGAGCAAGCTTTATTAGCTCTCCAGCCGTAGGGGGAGATCATCAGAAGGATGGAGGTTTATTCTAATGAGCCTGGTTGTGATATAGAAAGGGATCCAAATGTAAATGGCAGCCCACAAAAAACTGAGTTGTCTTATTCCACATTAAGTGGGTAAGTAGGCACTAAGTACGTTTTTAGTGCATCGACAGTTGCAACAATATTGTTTTATTGCTTCCACAGTAAAGTTGCTCACCGTGGAAACCGTTTTATTAAGAATCAATAAGAGTTTAACATTCATTCCCCTGAAGAGCCACATTACTGTGTGTGTGTGTGTGTCAGTGTGTGTTATGTCTGTCTGTGTCTGGCAGCAGCTGCTACTTGCGTTGCGTGATGGACGGAGGAAGGTAAAGGAGGGCACAAGTGTCTCCATGACAACCCACCTGCTTGTGGCCCTTTATAAAGCCAGGCGGGGTGGAAGAGAGAGAAGGGCTAACCGTTACTGACAGGGCACTCTGTGGAACAAGGGGGGGGGGGGGGGGGGGGGGGGGGGTGGGTTGGGGTGGCCCATGCTCCCTGACACAGCTCCCCATGCGCAGCGTCAGGACGGAGCCAGCATGCAGACAGCGTCCGCGGCTACGCCACAAATCGTTTCCCATCACATTCCCATTTTCCTATATTTTCTTCTGCGCATTCCACACTGGACCAAGGCGGCAGGTTGCCATGCCAAACGGACGACACTCAGCCCCCACCCCCCCGCAGCCCAGAGGGACATGTGACACATCCACAGACACAGAGAGACATGCTCCAGCATCCTTCACACTGGACCAAAACGCAGAGCGACTCCGACCAAACTGAGAGTGGAGCAGAACACATCGGGAGTGTGAGAGTGGAAGAGAATCACCTGCTGCAGGAACACACACCTATTCTGCTAAACTAATAGTATCAGTAAGAGGAGACATGACATTTTTATAGTAGGCTATTCAGTGTATTTGATATGGATTATACCATGGTCACATATAGTACTCATTTCTGATTTTGTTATAGTTTGAATAAAAGAAACCTCAAATGTAGGTGCAGAAAGTTAGGTCGGTGTGTTATCTGAGACAAACTGTGCTGTCATTTTGTATACATTGCTCAATGTTAGCACCTTCCAGCAGGCTGAGGGTCCTCACAGAAAATGCAGGACAGGAAATAACACCTGACCTCCAACTTTGTTTCACTTGCTAAAGACCAGACATACAAAAAGTCCACAATAATCAACAAATGATGCTGGTCTAGACTTAAGAACTATTCCTAAACTGTCTACATAATATTAGCACTTTGCACACTGCCAACTACGGTAACAGATTTCTCGTGTTGTCAAATTGGTAAAGATATTCCTTCCTCAGCTCGTCTACTTGCAGTTCTTCTTCATTTGCAGTGCGTTGAGCTCTCAGGGCCAGAGAAGCTTTCCGCTACTTCAGCTCCCTGATAACTTTAATATATCCCTAGAGTGCACTTTAGAAGTTAAACAACTGGAGGTCAGCAACATTTAAGATAAACAAGATCAAATATTCTGGAATACATAAGCAGAAACATGTTTTCCTGACAGGTAAGTCAGCGCACAGACTATATGTAATTGCAGTATTCGTTACGTCAAACTAGCAGTAAAAGACCAACCTGTGCATTAAACTTAATATAAACAAACTTTAAGAAAAGTGAAGCTGCTTCTCATTTTGTCTGCTGTTAAGTGGCCATGGTATACGTGTGAAAATACACTTGGAGGTGTCCTGATGTAGAAAATGAAGAACTGTGTCTGTTGTTTTCATACATCAGCACACCTCTGGTCTTTATATATACCTAACACATAATGATATATAAATACACATTTTAACTGTACATCTAGCCTTCCATCTACAGACCCAATGCGCTCCACTCCACTCTTTAAGCCATACTCTGGACCCTGCAGTACTCTAGCCATGGGGGACGCCACCTCACGGAACACAATGCAGAAAAGACCAGATAGAGAGAGGGACAGTAGAGTGAGAGATTGGCTGCTGATGTACCACTCGTTCTGGCAGAACACACACACACGCACACACACGCACACACACACTCATGCAGTAGAGTTGTAACACTGATCAACCAGCTAACCTGACGGCTTGGTCCCCTCTGAATACGGGTGCTCTGAAATGTCCTGCAACTCTAAGCAACAGCATTCACTGTTAATATCCTATTATGTTCATTTATAATTAACTACAAAATGTTAACTACCAACAAAATGGTTAGGACAAACACTAAAGCCTTTAAAAGTTCTAGTTCTTATTCAGTGCAAACTTCAGTGGATGCTGGTGAAAGGACAACTTCCTTTCCTACAAGATGGAACGCAGCCACTCACATTGTTGTAAACGAGTTATAAACGGCACACAGGATTACCTTGCAAATATCCTAGATTTACTCGATTCATGACATCGCTTGCAGTGAGATTAGAAACATCCTCTACAAGCCAAAGGAGGGAAGACACAAGAGTCAGAGAAAAAGGCAGAGAGAGAGAGGAGGAGGGGAACAGAGGAAAACAAGAAATAGAAAATAATCAGGCAGGCAGCGAAGGCATTTGCAGTTTCAAAAAAGGACGTTTCAAAAAAAGGTGAGAGCGATGCAAAGAAGCCATGCACCGGTGTGTGCACAGAATCACTTCCGAATTATTCATCTGTCACATGTTATGATCCTGCTGCAGTAATCCTCACTGACATTCATGGTTCATAAGATGATCTGGAGCTTTTGGGGTTCTTCCTGAAAGGTATTTAATCCACATGTTACATAATATTTAGCAAGTGCAACACAGCTGGAGCATGATTCTGCTTTAGTTTGGAAGCGTGAAGCTGGGAGGAAAAGAAAAGTGAGCAGATATTGAGTGCAGGCAATTGCAGTCTGTGTTCATTTGCAATTGAGACAAGGCTTGCTGCTCCTGCATCTCCATGCATGACGTGTTGATGAGGATGATGATGAGGATGATGATGAGGAGTGTGAAATGGTGAGTGTGTGATGGCACATGGAGGAGTTTGATGAGTGAGAAACTGATGAGAGAAAATGATTTTTTTTTAAAGGGTAATGATGATGTAGTGCGGTGTTAATGATCTCCACAGTAAACACCCACGGCACCACAGCTGTAGATGGTGAGATGAGATCAAATGACACACAGTGGAGTTTTTAAACACAGACTCTCTCACAGCTGACATCATTTAACTGGTTGAGAGTGGGTGGAGCATAATAATAACCAGGTTTAGTCGTAGAAAGAAGGTCACATTTAGTGTGTTCTTGGAACTTTTGCTTTGCCTTTTAAAAAGTTGGTGAATACAACGTAAGTAAATGTTATATTGCTACTTACCTTCATATGTATCATTAAGACAAAACCGGACTAAATGATGTTGTTTGGCTTTTTAACACTTTGTAGCTTCACAACATCACTGTATACATGCCTCCTGCACCACACTTAGTCCATTTAAAACAAAGCAACCCATAATACATGGGTGGCTCAGTGGGAAGGACAGATCCTGTGGGCCATGCCTAATATATATAAGGTGCTTTTAAGAGAAGACTTATTTCAGATTTTCTCAAAACTGAATAAGTCACGTGACTGTATTTAAAAACAGGCGAAACTGTCCGCATGGCAGTCCAAAAAAATAACATTTACGTTTTAGAGGCTGCACTTATTTCCATTATTCATTAATGGATATATTGAAATCATATGAAATCAAAAATGTGTAATAATTAAACAATAAGAGTCTCAATTATAAGAATGATTTTGTCTGATGAACAGTCCAACACCCTATAAGATTTAGCATGTATTTACATTGTGAAGCTGGATCCAAACTGTTTTCAACTCTCATAACTGTAAATCGTACATTTAAAATGTACCACCACAAGTGTACATTTTTATTGCTGAGAATGTCAAGCTACCCCCACTGATGTTTAACTCAACCGATTAAATGATGTCTGCCCCCGGAGGTGCTGTGGCTTTAAAGAAACGTTTAGAGAACTGAGAATCCAATCTGCAAGAAACATTATCATTTCATTACTATTCATTTCAGGCACCTTAGTATTAATTATGATTAAGTACTTGGTGAAAATACCTAAACTAAATTATTAATAAGCTCACATACTCTATTTACCTTGGCTTTACAATAAGTCATATATATCATCGACTATAAAAGTGAATTTACTTTGGTCAACGCATCCTAACAATCATGTCTGTCTAAATGCTGCCGTCAGCCCCCCCCCCACTCACCGTATCCCACGGTGGGCAGGCCCAGGTGCTTCATGCGGTTCTTCACCAGCTCCGACAGCTCCTGGCGCTCTGAGCGTCGGTACAGGTTGAGTCTCTGCTGCGAGATGCGCTCCGCCCGGCTCGACGGCTTCACGTTCTTCCTGCTCAGCCGCCGCGCCCACTGCATGCTCTTCTTCCTCAGCAGCGGGTGCTCTGATTGGTCACTGGTGGTGGAGTTCCTGTGGGCCTTCTTCTCCTTCCAGGACTCTCCGCGCTCTCGATGTTCCTCGCCCTGCGGCACGTTGATGGAATTCTGAGACTGGGAGGACAGGGAGGCGGTGTTAACGCTGGGTACTGAGTGTGTGTGTGTGTGTGTGTGTGTGTGTCTGTCTCAAATTTAAATTCAATTAAAATGTTTTATTGTCATATGCACAAGGCTACAGTGTAGAATGGCAATGAACATCTTATGACCTGAGCTCCTCCAACAATCCAACATATATAATAAAATACAAAAATACAAAATAAAAAGTAGTGTGTTTTTGTGTGTGTCTATTTAAAGTGGACCTATCATGCTATATTTGAATAATATATTGTAGGGCCATATCTATATTAAACATGTCTGCAGAGTTTTTTTTTCAAAATACCAAACAGATCATGCATTTTAGCCATGCCTCATTTCGCTCCATTTTGCTCTTTTTTTAGCCCTGTTTTTGCAAGGGCTGATTCTGTGAGAAGTCTTCTTCTCTGCTTTTGTGGCAGACTACAGCGCCACCTACAGGCCTGGCATATGTACTACAGCGTCTCCAGCGCTTTCGAACGGCAATGGCCGTGGCTGTCTCCTCCTGATAGGTGGAGAGTTGGCCATATAGGCGGAGCTCCTCGTTTCTGACGTCAGAGAATTTCAAATCTGTATCAATCTGTTGCAGCCCCGTTTTTAGAGATTTGGGTATCGAGGAAAAGAGAGAGGGTTGTGTTTTCTGACACACCGGGGACACATAAAAGTGCATTTTGCATGATAGGTCACCTTTAATGTTTTTATATATTTATTTTTAAAGACGTACGGTATCTGCTGTGTCATAATTTCCTTTTAAATGCTATTTTAAGGTGCCATCATTATCAATGTTTGATACTCGTGCTCTTTATGCAAAAGGTTGAGTGAAATATCCAAATGAAAAAGCATCCCACTCTTACCTGTGCATAACTGTCCTTTCCCTGAAACACGAGACAAACAGACATCCAAACAAAAATAAATGCAATGAAAGATGAGGGCACCCAAATCATGCAAAATTATCAAAATCAGAACAGTAAATAGCAAAAATAGGGATTTTATACAATTAAAATGGTCGGAAAATAACACAAGCTAGCATTTGTAAATGTTCTCATGTGTTGTTTTGTATACTTGCAATTTATGTAACATGACAAATATTATTTAGACTATGATTTCAATTTCATCAAACGCACAGGCTAATGAAAAATCTAAAGTAATTGGGGACTTCTTGTTAACAATGTATCAAAATAATTGTATTCCCATTTTTAATCTCCCTCCCTGCTTGAAGTAAAACAAATAAGAGTGAAAAATGCATAAAGGATCAAACAATGATTGAAAAGTAACGTGTCGAGCATTAAAAGGGGATAATTAGGAAGATTATAAAAGCTAAGCGAGGAAGGCAGAACAGGCATTTCAGGAGAAGAGAAATGATAGCAGGAGAAAATGCAAAGCAAGGAAGAACATCATGATTCTTGTTGAGGTTGAGAAAGGAGAAGGAATGGACAAAACACAAAATGAGGGAATAAATAAATGAGCGTTTGATCAAAGTGAACCTGCCTCTGAGGTGGAGAACATGTGGGACTCGGTGCGGTAGATCCCGATGGGGATCTCAGAGCTGGAGGAACAAAGCTTCTGGAAGAGTCTGCCATATGTCCTGATCCACAGGTCCTCCTCTGTGATCTTCATCTGGGCATGGAGGGAGAGATTCAAAGAGATGCAAGCACAAACTCATTTCCTCTCAAATCTAAGTCTGAAGATATGTACTCACAGCACAGAGGTACCCAGAGCCTGGCGTGGTGTCCAGACCCAGAAGAAGCCTCGCTATACCGATCATATAGTCCTTCACAAACGACTGTGGAAATAGAGAATGACTGCGGTGAGAAGAAAGTAAAACAAACCCAGACAAAAAAAACTCCAGCAACAATGACAGATATACATATTTTAATATATTGGGAGAACCAGACCTATTCAATTATTAAAGCAGATGCTCCCGTTCCCTTTTGCTAGACACATCTGTGTTGCCTATTGCAGGATTCTGGAGTTTGAATAACAATCAACCTTTTTATGTACATCTGTTTTGAGTGAGGGATGTGGCAAAGGATGTGTCCTGAGGTGCCAAAAAATCTCCTTTGAACCAGGAACATATTTTATTTGCTAATTGTATTCCTTATTTCTTGTGCGTCTATAAAAGGTTTAGTGTTGTGAAGTGTGTATGTGGAAGTGTTTTCATCCAGAACCCTACCTCTAGAGGGCAACACTTTCTTTAATCATGTTTACCTTTGACATACAACTTGTTTAACTGGATATTATCAGAAAAAAGTTGTCATCAAAAATCCATATTTAAAAAAAGAACATAATCTTATCCCTTAACCTGCTTCTGGGTTACTTGGCTGCACAGACATCTAAGATTGATGGAAACAATATATATGACTATCATTTCTCACGATGAACCCCCATGTTTAACCTCTGAGGTGTTTCCATGTGATCCCACCTGGTACAGCAGTGTGTCCAACATGCTGATGCTGAACACCCTGCCTGCAGCGAAGGGCAGCCGGAACATGAAGGCCAGGTTGGAGCCCTTATCACGCTCTATCTGAAGAGAGAAACAAGAAGGTGTGAGGAAGAGAGCAACCAGATAATACAACCTTTTCCTGATATGTTTGCTGAACTATTGCTCTTTTGCACCATCTCCAAGAAGAAGTAATGATGGAAAAAGAAAAAGGCCTGTTTTGAAAAGGTGGAGAGTGTTTTGTAAGCACCGTGAAGGCTTTACTGCAGGTGGGAGAAAAATGACTCATGAGGGATTCAGAAAGGATTAAAAGACTTTGATCGAGAGTCAAGATGAAACTCATGTCTTTTTTTTGTGTTTTATTATTTCCATTCACCATCATAAAGACGCATAAAAAAGTAGTAAGGCTGCACAAAATAATATATTTCGGGGACAGAGAAAAGTTCGATCTATTATACAATAATAACAATTTCACTTCTGGCCTTCTGGAAATTGCAGGGGGAAGAGAAAATAACATGTTTACTACTAAAGACAAATCATAATAGCAAAACACATCTAAATACTTCGCTTCAGCACACTCCTATATTCAAGAGTGATGTTTCACGGTGCGATGAGAGAGGGAAAACTAACAGGTCCTTCAATCCCTAGAGTTACATGATATATTTAAATAATAATATAAATAATAACAATAACAATAGGTATTTATGTATTGGTTTTCCTAGGACAAAAACTCGCTTTACAAGTAAATCAAGAAAAAAAAAGTCCTAAATCACAATCTGGGCCACAAGTCGTACTCTTTCAAACAAATACAATGTATTTCTTTGGATCCTGAACTTTGAAAAATCTGTGAATTTGATCATACTTCTTCAGGTTGAATATCTTTTTTTTTTTAGTTCAGTTTAGCAATGCTTTTCAATAAAACATTTTTGTTTGTATTCACTTTTATATATTACAGACTATCTTCTATAAAAGCAGCTCTGATCTGCCTTTGGAAAACATTCACACAAGACAAAGTGATAGCCAGCGAGTCTCAAGGTGTTCTCACTTCTCCACAGCTCACCTTCTCCAGTTTGGAGAGCGCGAGCGAGTAGCAGTCCTTGGCTCTGAACTGCATGAACCTCATGTTGGACGGGTGTGTGAGCTCCGTGATGATGCTGAGGCTGGGGAACAGCCTGGGATTAAACAGAGAGCGATGTTAACGCTTTGTGCTGAGGCAGTGATGGATGGTTTTAATCTCTGTTGCTAAGTAAAAGACTACTTTTAACAACAGTACTTTGTCTTAGAAATTAACTCATTCACCAAACTCTGACAAACAAGCATTTACTATACAGGGAGTTGATCAAGTGGAGTCTGACACAACTACTACAACATGTTCACTGTGTGTTTGTACAAAAATGCTCCCGTGTTACCTAAACATAGTCTGGACGTTGACGATGGTCTTGGCGTCGGCCATGTAGTCCTCCTCAGCGCTCATGGTGCTCTCCTTGTCCACAACCACCAGGTTGTCGGCGTAAATTATTCCACACTGGAGCAGATTGTCCAAGCTGGTCCATTCACAAAACAACAGAGCTTGTTACGTCACGTCAGGAAATATCTGTCCTTAGATAGTATAACAATAATAAAACATACATCTGTAAAGTGCAATTTGTTCTAATAATTTATCATCAGTTCGCACACGTTAGGAAAAGCTGGATCATCTACCTTGGTTTGCAAATTGCTCCATTTACAAGAACTACCAAGATGCAGCATTTTAGCCTCATAATAACAAGTGTTAAAAGTATAGAGTAAATATTAATGCATCAAATAATTGAAATAATTGAACGGGTTGCACAACAAACTTCAGTTCTCATGTAGATTATAGTTGTTTCTAAATATTTACAGTCAGTACATTTTCCAGTGATGACTTGTGGGTATTTACAATGACATGGTATCACTAACATATGACCCTACACTTGATCAAAATGATTTCAATTGAATACCACAACATCTGAAATGATAAAGACACTAAATCACCAAATTCCACTGCAGAGGTTAGCATCGGAGGTGGATGTCTTTTTATGCTAAGCTACCAGCGACTCTGTAAACTTGGTATGATCTAGTTGCATACACGGAAATCTTTATCAGGAGAAAGTTAAGTGTACTTAAATATGTTATTTTTGGCAAGTATGTTCTGATGCAGTGACTTCCTGTTGACATAGCTGATTGCTTATGATGGGATGCACAACCAAACCGCACAGTACTGAAGTCTTTACTGAATAAGCTATTTTATGATTAAAGTTAGCAGCTGGCTACCAGTTACTTAGGAATTAGGAAGGAGTTTACACACTTCATAATTGTTTTACAAACAGCTGGTGTACCCAATCCAGCTGTGCACTTACATTCAACATCTGCTGTCTGTGCTTTTTAATGGATTTTGTGCTTCTGATATCTGCAAACTTTGAGTTTAGGAAGCAGCAGCCTTTCTGTAATACCCTCATAATCCAACTCCTGTCTAGCTGTGCAGTCTTTATTTGAACATGACCTGACAGTGTACTGTTGGATGACTGAATGTTGGAATCTCAATATGCTGGGTCTACACATGCATGGTTTTTAATAGTGAACCCTTCCTTTAACCAGACCCTGAAGCTATAGTATGTTTTGTGATGGCCAACACCTGCTAAGAATCATATTGCATTTTATTCAAGTAATTTTAAACATGAACCACTGAATGAGCTTATTAAGTGTGCAGTTATTTTATGATCCAAAAACCTACTTATCGATGGTGCCAGCCATGAAGTAGACCATTGGAAAGCAGCAAATGGCCTCTAGGAAGTGGTTGTCTGGCCTGCGGGAGACAAGAAACATTATGATGCTCACACACTCATCATTTCTGTAAAACCCCGGAGACAGATGATGTCACTGATGCTGTAATTCATTTAAATGTGTTTGTGGATCAGGACAGGGCAAATACTGCTTGAATTGTATTTGATGGTTTATTAGGCAACAAGAGGGGAACAGTATATGTTTATTCCTTAAATTCAAGGGTAGGATGTAACTGGTTGCTATGGAAACCCCTTAGGGTCTCACTATCATGGCTAGTGGTTTATCAGTTTTAGCACCGTAGAGAGTTGTCCGAAATTATTGATGCTTTTTTAGAACACACACACACACACACACACACACACACACACACACACACACACACACACACACACACACACACACACACACACACACACACACACACACACACACACACACACACACACACACACACACACACACACACACACACACACACACACACACACACACACACACACACACACACACACACACACACACACACACACACACACACACACACACACACACACACACACACACACACACACACACACACACACACACACACACACACACACACACACACACACACACACACACACAACACCTCTTGAGAAAGAGAGGTTGTTTATGATTAATGCAAAATCCATTTCTTGTTTTATCTTAAAGCAAAGCTAACCAATATTTCTACTGAAAGCAATTTGGTTGCTCCAAATTGATAACATAAAAAAGCACTTCCACATGAGACCGCAAACAAATGCAAAAAATAAACACAAAAAGGCACACGTTTTTTTAATAATAATAATAACAATGTTAAAATATATTATTTTTAGGGCTGTCAGTCGATTAAAATATTTAATCGCAAATTAATCGCACATTTTTTATCTGTTCTAAATGTACCTTAGAGGAATATTTTTCAAGTTTTTAATACTCTTATCAACATATGAGTGGACAAATATGCTTTATGCTAATGTTTATTATCATTTGAACAATGACAAATATTCTCATGAATATTAAACACAACAACCTCTGAACATTACAAATATTCACCTCAATTCAACCTGGAACCTCTCATACAATAATACAATACAAATGGGTGTGCGTGCGCGTGTGTGTGTGTGTGTGTGTGTGTGTATGTGTGTGTGTGTGTGTGTGTGTGTGTGTGTGTGTGTGTGTGTGTGATGGATCGTTGGAGCTATGTGCAACTCAAGGCATATGCTCGAACGGGAGCTGCCTGGACGCTGCAATCATGTTGCGCACTATCCGTGCTGAGTGTGCTGACTTTTCGTACAATGTCCCACTGTCTGGCTTCCTGCATAAAGTCAAGTACTCGGCGCAGTTGTGGCGAAATGTCGCTCCTCTGTTTTCATTTAAACAGCTCCTTATAGCGCAGCTAGCTAGCACCAGATGCTAACAACCACAATGCACGTAAGGTCTCTCTCTCGCTCGCTCGGGCCACACATACACACACCCTCCCGGTCCTCCCAATAGCCAGTCGGTGCCTGCCGGTGAGCGTGGACGTGTGGTCTGCCACAAGCGGGCGTTAACGCGTTATTAACGCGTTAACTTGACAGCCCTAATTATTTTATATCTAGAAGCAAGGTTAACCCATATATTTCTACTGCACGTAATTCTTTCCGCAACTCTAAATATCCCTTGTAAAATGGAGCAGATGATTTTGTAACTACGGTATGTCAAACTCTCAAATAGCAATTCTTTTTTTTACTACCACTAATCATTTATCAACAATAATGTAGAATTATTGTTCATTAGTCTACTAGCAAGATACAAATTTAGGTACATGTGTATGGGGCACATTACTATGGGTTTTTGAAGTTATTGTGGAAATGTCAGTGAGTTTACATCCCTGTAGGAGTAAGAACAAACATACAGGATGGTTAAAAGTCTTACGGGTAGTCCAGCAGCAGCACTATGGGGTTGAGCTCCTTCCTGGGCCGATAGTAGGCGCGCAGGGGGACGATGAAGTTGTAGAGACCGTTTCCCGCCGTCTCTGCAGACACTATAATCAGCTTGTTCTTGAAGCCGTATGCTTTGGCATCCTCAAAGCTGCTGTGTGTGCAGCCCTGACAGACAGACAATCAGGGAGGGAGTCAGTCAGGTTTTTGTAGAAATAAGATAAGAAGTGAAAGTGTTTGTGGTTTAATTCTGAGCTGTTTTTATTCTTTTTTTCCTGCGTTTGAATTTACCTTGTCGAGACGAAGGCAGCAGAATGGAGCTTTCTGTGGCAGGAGGTGGCACAGAGTGGGGGAGCTGCCGATGTAGGGTGAGTTGGGAGGGTAACCCTTCACAAAACTGTTGGTTAACAAACAAGAATATCAGGGGGAACAATACAGACATATTGTGCAGATACCTTTTTGTCAAATTTCCACTAGAAATGACCATCTCAGAACTGAGTATCCTTCCTCTCCACATTTATCAAAATATAGTCGCTTAAACACATCTTATTAGTGTGGATTATTATTAACTAGCTATACACGATGGTATAAGGGAGTATAACTGCACAGCTCTTCACTACCTTCGTCTCATTTTGTGTTTGCATCAAGTGTCAATTTGGTTCTTTTTCCTGTAATTACCTTAAATCAGTTTCACAATGCCCTCTAGTTTACCGATAAAATAGATTTGTATATGAAGCATCCAAAGCCTGATCGCCACATGGGGGCACTGTGAGACCTCAGTGTGTTTCCTGCAGACTTTATCTCCCTTACTTCTGTGTCTGACATTTCTTTAAAGAAGACACAATGTCATGGGGCACAGTTTTAGAGGCTCAGAGGTTAGGAGGACTATGTAATGTCCAACTTTACGAGACCCAATAATGTTAAAAAATAAATGGGCTGAGGTTCAGAGGCCCCGATTTGTCCTCAAGGTAACTCTGCCATATTGAAAAAAACACATAAAGGAAGAATAGATTATGCAGACAGCCCGATTTCTGGCTGAATTGCTACCATGGCGACTGGTAAATGAGCGTTGAGGGGTGAGGATCAATTCAAGGACACACAACAGTAGACATCACTCGAGAGGGGAAAGTGCTGACCCTCCCCGTCATGACACACACATTCATCACAGCCATGTCCGCACTTTACAGCCTCATGACACACAGATTACACACCTATTCCAAACCCATCAATCTCTCCTCCTACAACCACTGAGACGTGACGAAGAGCAAGAGGGCAGGGGACATCAGATCAAGAGATACACGCCTCCACAGTGAGGACATTTCACTTTTTTTTTTTACAGCCACCAACCTTCCGAAACCAGCAAATATCTGCATCAATAACACTTACTCTGAGCCTACGGATCCCTCCTCGTCTGATTGATTGTTCTCGTCCTCTGATTGGTCGCTGAGGAGGTCGCAGGGCAGGATGGCGGAGGAGTCTGCAATCTCCAAGACGGGCGCAATGCTCGGCCGGCGGCTTCCAGCGCCGTTCTCCGTCGGCAAGGTCAGCTTGCTGCTTTCCTCGGGAGGACTGGGGTTCTGGAGATCAATGGCCACAGTGCCTGGAAATAACACAGGGTTATGTTTGCTCCGCTAACTACGCAGTCATTCAGACAGCATGTGCAGCACTCTCACTGCAATGTGTTGATATGTCAACTGTGACGCCATAACCATTTTATCTCAGAGAACACTGAAGGCCTGTTCATTATGTAAAGTAAATAAGGTCCATGTTAAGACATACACAAAGAAACACACACAATATAATATAATTAGCTTGGCTTAGTTGACCTTGAGGAACAAAATGATTGCTTTCTGTATCCTGCGACTGTACTTGGGCTTTAAAAACAGCATGCAACTTCTATTGACATTGTGTGATTGTCAATAAATCCTTAAAAAATACATCATATTTGGCGGTGTTATATGATGTATGATATATGCATTACATATATCAGGCATATCAGATACATGGTATATGCAAAAACACATATATCCTTTTTTTAATGTAATAATGGGATTTTGTTTTTTAAAGACAGAGAAAATAAAAACTTGTATAAACTGTATATCATAGTAACATTTCTAAAATGTCTACTGGTATTTCAGTTTTAAAAAGTGATGCATCATGCACAAACTTACCATATGCAGTGGCCTGATCAACTTTCACAGGTCAAAGAAAAAGCACAACACAATAATGTCAGCCAAGAAAGTAAAATAGGCATGTAAGAAAGAAGTCATGCATAACAGTCAGCGGAAGCATACAGCATCACCAAGGCAGCCAGCACTCACAATCTCTCATTGTGAGTGCAGTTCAGGGTCAGAGAAACACAACAAAAGCATCCACTTTCTCTGCGGACATGGAACATCTTTCAACCAAACAAATGTGAAACTGTCTGCAACTCGCAACACTACAATCATCCTCAATCTTCCTTTCTTTATCGACTTCTAAAAAAATGTTTCTGCCCCTGACTCTCGGTCTCACCCATGCTGGCGATGATGCTGTGCACGGGCAGCCTGGAGGGGGCGTCGTAGAGGCCGCTGACGGGTATGCCCTTGTTGTGCTTCTCTTCCTGTTTGAAGATGAAGGCAGAGTTCTCCTCCTTGGTGATGTTGATGTAGTAGCAGGTGTCGGGGGCGGCCATGATGTGGCGGGGGCCGGGGTTCAGGAGGATGCTCTTGTTGTCCTCCCTCTTCACTCCGATTAAACACACACCGTACCTGAGGGGTAAGACAGGTATGCAAGGTTTAAAGTCTAATGATATCACTGTAATGTGTCGGGATTAAACTAGTGGACGTTTTAACTAACTTCTTGTGGGCGTGGAAGGATGCGTAGGTGAAGCTCTTTCCGTCATATTCCCCAAAAAACTTGCTGTCACACAAGCGGATGTGGTAGACCTCGTTTCCAGAGCAGCGTCCGTAGATCCTCTGCCACTGCTCCGGGGACAGCTGCCCCTCCCTGAAACAGCATTATCATATTATATACTGCTTGAACCACAGAGACACAAAATGTCTGATTCCTACAATGAACTATTGGCCAAACAACAGTCTTAATATGGCTTAAGAGCAATGTTGTGGAAAAAAAAATCTCACAAGTAACTTAACAATAAAAAACATCTTTAACAATAATATTGCAATGCATGATCAGTTCTAATAAAATGAATGATGTGTTATAAACAAAGGCCTCTTCAATAATAAATACACATTTCAGAATGTTGAAAAAAAATCAATCAGAAAAGTTAAGACCAGAGTTTGTGGCTGGTAGTATTTGTTAAAATGAAGTTTGCAATAAGTCAGGGCAGGTTCAGGATGCGCAACTATTACAACCCAAAGACCGGCATTACACTAGGAGCTAACACGTGATATGAATAACTTTAAACTCCATTTGACAGCAGCAGACCAAAATGAATTGGAAGAGGGAAATTACTAAAGTACTAAAGAATGAGGGACAGCCACACAAAAAGAACTATAACACATTTCAGAGTTTATTTGGTACCTAACAGCTTTCATTTCCACAATCTGGTTGACCTTTCACGACCCTATAAAGTCAATTTATTTATGCAATTCATGTCCTTCATAATCTCTAATCAAAGTGATAATGTTCATATAACCACCAGCCAAAAATAAGTCCACCCACATTCCCTATCACCTTCACAGCCCCTGTGCAGCTTCCCCTAATGGAAATAAAAAATTGATGTGCCTCGTTTCTGCTCAGGACAGCAGTGAAGATAAAGTGGCCACCTTGCACAGAATATGAAACATTCAGACCGATGTTTTGCCGAGCAGGAACTTTGGTGATGAAAACTGACTGGACAGTAAAAAGTTTCTCCAGAGGCTGACAGTACAGTATTCAGCTCTGCAGAGACACACACCAGGTACAGTCTGTAGGACTGTAAACAAGCTGCTGTCATCTTTGTTTCTATCAATCATTCAAGCGGAATTGAATCTGTCTACACTGGAATGATTACTCAAAGAGATATTGAACATTAAAAGAGCACTCAAAGTAAGGAGTTAAACGTTTACTTAACAACAACTTTTATTGGAGGTTGAACTGCTTGAGGGTGCATTCACACCTATGACTCACACATATGATTCACACCTAATAGTCCGTTTTCTGGTGCGCACCAGACGACAGTTTGTTACATTGTTTCATTTTTCAGAAGGTTCGGTTTGCGTTCACACCTATGGTTCACACGGGCAAAACTCAAATGGACTATAAACTATAAACACAAGTCATGTTGGTAAAAACGCAAATCCCGGCAATTTCTACCGGAGCCTCCGCCATGGAGCATCGGCACTTTCGGCAGGTTATTCTCATGCTGCCGTTAATCTGGAGATCAACAGACTCTAGCGGCCCGCGCATATGATTATATAATCAGACAACGTCCGTTAAAAAACATTGTAACACATATAATGAGACGTTCTGCAGTAAGGAGGGGCGTTTCACCGACGACAGGTGTTCTTACTTTTATGTAGCTGACGGAGATGTTTTACTTTACACGACACTGTTCAACACTTCATTCTGCTTCACTCTTTAACTAAACAACCGCGGATGTCTTGAAAGACTCTTTCGCTAAAGATTTTGAAGATATCCGCGTTCTTGTGACACGTAAATACTACGCTTCCTGGGTCATTCCAGAATTGGAGGACAATTTAGACACCAACATTTTTGAAAAATGAACCTTTTATTTTTGTTTATGTATTTAGGAAAAACAGATAATAAACCATCAAAAAAAGTGATTTTCCCAGCTAGGCATCAAATGTATATTTTCCAATGAAGAATTACCCCTGTTACTCTACTTATAGTAACAGGGTTGAAAATCAATGCTAATTTGAGCTTTAACCGCAGGAATTATTGCTAGATGTAGCATGTAATGCTACTTTCAAGGCAAGGACAAACTTGGATATTTAATGAAAGAAAGATAACTTTGAAATTAATATGCTTTATTCTGATAATATCAGTAACAGGGTTGAGTGGGTCAGAGTGCCACACTTTTTTAAGACTGAACAGATTGTAAAAATATGAAAAATAAAAGAGAGGACTTAGTTTTGGTCTACCCATGGCACTAGCACATGGCTAGCTGATGTCCTTTCCACTGTGTCATCTGACTTACAGTTTTTTCACTTCCTCTGCCAATCTAAAAAGGTTTGGGTAACAGGGTGGAACACATGTTGAGGGACACACCTTCTGTGCAAAATTACTGTTATTTAAAATATGTTTATGATTTAACAAATTGATTTTACCATTACAAGAGACATATATCAATAGAATAATACCAAAAAAAGTAAATAAAATCCCTATTTTAAATGTTATATTTGACATGCAAGTTGGTCACCAAGAAGCGGGGACAAGAGAAAAATGCTATTTTAGGGGATGTTCGAGAGCTATTTGATAATTTAAATAATATTTTGAAACCACTTTTTCTACAACTTTATATACATTTTGTCTCAAGACAAGTATGTTCAACACAACAAGTGCATGTTTTAGCATTTTGGGCATGGATTATTAGATTTTTTATATGGGGGACATGAAATGTCCTCCAATTCTGGAATGACCCTCTATGTTTTGGCGCGGACTGCGTTCACACCAGCAATGAACCGCTCCAGAGTTCGCAAGCAAGCGCTCCGAGACCACCTATTTTAGCGGACCAGAGTCCGGTTGTTTAGTTCACTTAAGAGGTCTCGGATTGTGTTCACACCAACCCAAATGAACCGCACCAAGCGGCTAAACGCACCAGGGTTCGATTCAACCGGACTATACAAGGCAGGTGTGAACGCACCCGCATTACTAATGAGTCATTGGTTCGTTTTAATCTCAATGAATGGAGCCCTACAAAAGTAATGTTAGGCTGGGACGAGGTCATCTTCTCTTGCTATTGTTTCAAAGAAATGAAGCAACAACATCTCTAAGTAGCTTTGCTGATTTATTCAAAGCTGGGATAACTAATGACAGTAAAAACAAAAAAATGTTTAAAGTTTCACCGCTTTCCTGCTGCAAAAATGTGAAAATATTAATACTTCTCTCATGTGCACAAGACAATGAAGCCAGGATACAATTAGCTTAGCTTAGCATAACCACTGGAAACAGCCTGGTTCTCTAAGGGGACACACTCTCTTTATTAGCATCTCTAAAGTGTTACTACATAGTCTCTTGTTTGTCTAATCCATTCAAAAAACAGTTTATAGGCAAAATTGTTCGCTTTGGAATAATAACTTGTACAGTTATAAAAAGGATATTCTGATTGTGGCTGTCACTGTAAATCTATAATTGCTAATGTTAGTAGCAGTAATTGTAAAATGGTAGCGTGTACTCACTGTCCTCTGGAGGTGTGAACCAGCAGTGTGACCAGGGTAGACGTGGCGGGACACACACAGTTCAGCGCCAACATGGCATACTTGAACTCCTCCTCACATACTACATGATCTGATTGAAAAGGATACATTGCAACAATATATTACATCAAACTTAAAACAATTATGCGTACATGACTTTGTTTTGGCAGGTTGGTAGCCTTTTTGCACTTACCTGCAAACTTAACATGGAACTTATTTTCAGGTTTGAGAATTTGGACGTACAGAGGGCAATTTGGAGCAAAATCTTTTGCAGCCCAAGCCCTCAAAATAGTCTGGTGATCCTGTGGGAGAAGAAATAGCTCCATTTCATTCACCCAGTGGCTCATTTGTGAAAGCAATCTGAATTTTATGGAGCATAAAGTTGCCTCAGTGACTTGTGTGTGAGCTCCCAAATCTCAATAGCAGGTACAGTATAATCATAACATTATTTGAATATCTCAAACCCTCTGGGCTACTGTATAATGGAAGGAGAGTGTGAAGGGAAATTGCTCCGATCAAATATTGTTATCGTGAGGAGGTTCCCTGTAGATTAGACTCACAGCAGCAGTTCGGTCGACCTCATTCCTGCTGCTGAGGATGAAGCAGGCCTCAGCATCATCCATCCTGAGCAGAGAAACAGAGGGACAGAGAGAAACACAGGTTAGGGAGGAGAACATTCAACCAAACGTTAAATTAAATATGTACAGATCAAAGCTACAAGTGCTAATGCCCTGTGACGAAGGCTGAAAAGGTTAAGCTGCATTCTAGCATGAAAACCATGTGCTGTTGTGTGACATCGGAGCTACTGTCAGCAAAACGCAAGGGGGGAAACACTCATATGTTCTCTAAACGAAAATGTTTCAGCATGGCATGGCTGATCCTTCCATTAGGCTTACCTGCGCGGGTGATGTTATTGATCACATATCAGTGCGTGAAATTGCCATAAAATCGAATCACCTGCACAATTGTGCACATTGAAGAGGGGCTCAATGAAAAAGGGTCCGGCCTTCTGGACAGATTCATGATTTACAATTCACGCTGTTATGTGCTGGTGAGAAATACTGAGATACCATTCCACTGGCATCACATTATAAGCTGCAAAACATCTGAAAGCCAACAGCAATCTCCCCTGAAGCGACAGTAAAAGCCTGAATGGTGGTGCAATATTTTGTAGGTACAGAGACAAAACGAACAGGTCGCACAGCTTCCGATGGGATCCATCACGGTACATTGCTGCCTGTCTTAGGTGGCCTTTGATGTGAGCAGATGATCAGTGTAGAGTGAAATCCCATTACACTGATATGCAGGCAGAGGGCAGCGAAGTTAACTTGTAAGTAACTCATCCTCCATGCACTTCAAGGACATGGATTTGCCAGTGGAGGACTTCAACTTGCCATTTACATCTAAAGCAATTTGAACATTCTTATTAACAACTTCAATGAATAGAATCTAGATGATGTGCTAGATTGAATGTCAAACCTCTCAAAGACATGACAATCCCCTCTTAATGACAGACATTAACATGGTGCCAGGTTCCACAGTGTGATTTTCCGACTGAAATGCCATTTTGTTTTATTTCATTCATTAAAATCGCACGTGTGCAGAAATTAAGAGGTGTTGTACCAGGCTCTACCAACCAACCAACCACCAAGTGCATTTAGGCCGTTTTAAAGACAGTTGGAATGGCACATCATCTTTAATGTGTAAACAACATACAGTAGTGTATTTGTGTCCGTCTTTATGTCTTTGTGCTGGTCTGAAGGTAAGCATGCATGCTACGTTTTCACTCACTTGGCCCTCATCAGGTCCTGGTCTTTCAGGGCTGATCCCTGCAGGTAGATGACCCTCTGGGACCATAAAGGGATTTGCAGGATACGGCGAACCTGAATGTCTATCTCTGTCGGACACAGGATCACCACATAGTAGTCCTGAAAAACATGGGATATTCATACATTTTACTTAAATCACGCTGCAGGTTTTATTTTATGCATGTGGGATTGTACATTAAGGCAAGGCAAGTTTATTTATATAGCACTTTTCAACACAAGGCAATTCAAAGTGCTTTACAAAAAATGAAAGACATTAAGAAAATGGCATTTAAAATCAGTCATTCAAAAGAAAAGCTAATAAAATAAACATTAAAAGAAAAAATACATGGATAAAAGTTACAGTGCAGTCTAAGATATGAATAGTTCAATTAAACATTAAAAGAAAAAGTACATGGATAAAAAGCATTAAGCATTTTACTTCTTCAGCGTATGTCATTTTTGGGGAAAATTCAATTCAAAGTCAATTTTATTATGCAGTTATTCTGTACACATGACATATTTATCCTTTTTTGTTTCTTTTAGGAGGGTTCCCTCATCTGAATTTAGGGACTGCAATTGCAGAGATTGGTAAGCCCATTGAGGTAAATGTAGATTTGACTATGTGACAGGAATACTACACAGACCACTTACTGTTATAAAGAGATACAACTTCTGTAAAATGATCTATAAATCTACAGTCATTATAGTCCTGCTAGCTGCATAACCATTCTTATTCTGACAGTAAAAAGCCTCCTTTAGGGGTACTTAAATATGACTACATAGTTAACTTTCTGAAATAAAATCCACTGTTTTGGTACCTGTAGTCTGGGATGAGCGTAGAACTCGTTGAGGAAATCCATCAGGAGGTCAATTTTCAGCGAGCTGACACACAACACCACGTGCTTCTCCGTCTGCGCCCGGTGGCGGCTGTAGTTCCCTCCTAACTTCTGGCTCTCCATCCACAGGTATGCTAGTTCTTCAAACTGACACAATGGTAACAACATTGACGTGATGTCAAATATAACAAGACTGAGATTAATAATAAAAGAAAGATATATTTTCTGTCTGGACACAGACTCTAAACTAAAGCAATAGTTTGCCAGCAGCAGGAGCTCATTCCTAACTACTATCTCTCACCCTCTATCTCTGCAGTGACAGGTAACATTTAAAATGATGGACACGTTTGTTATCTCTAAAAAAACAACAACACAGCAAGTAGGTAGATTTATGCAGCAAGAGTGAGCCAGAATGACCTTTTTGAGCACTTAGTTAAATGTTATATTTGATGCAGCAAGTGATGGCTTAATGTTGAATGATATCCCCTGTAAGGTGATCAGTACATCAGCAGCACATCGTGAGACATTCTGATCTGAAAAGACGGTCTGTTGCTAAAATGTGAATCCCCTCACTGCACTTTGGGGAAAAAACAGAGTTGAGTTTGCCTTACAGGGTCATTACCTGCAGTGGGAGAACCACCAGGGCAACACAGATGAGAATGACCACCAGCAGCTGGGAGGGCCAGATTTGTGGCGTGACATCCCCGTAGCCCACTGTGGAGAAGGTGACGATGCAGAAATAGAACGAGTCGAACAGGGTCAGGCGCTTCCCGGCTCGCTCTAGATGCTGGATCCCACAAGCTCTGCAGAAAGAAGAGACATCATACTCAATGATCCTCAATACAGACATGTCTCCTATGGGTAAAGATCATTTGGATGTGTATCCTACGATGTCAGTGTGTTTTAGGCTCGCAAACTGGATATCAAACCTGTAAAGGAATATTTTCATCTGATGCGTAGCTGTACTGAGAAACTTCACATGAGTGACCACTCTTTCTCTGTGTGGGGGGGAAGGGTTTACTGCCCACTCAGACAGAGTTTCTTTGTCTGTTAATCTGTAATCGATTAGGGGAAAAGGCGGGCTGTTGGGACCCCTCCTTTAAAGGATATATAGAGATGTTTCTGTCTTGTGTGGTTACAGTTAATTTTGGCAGCTTGCATTGAACAGTGCGAGTTGCTTTGTTAATCCTCCGGCCGTTTGTCTCTCAATAAATATCAGTGTATTGACAGGCGAATCCAGTTTCACTCATTTCATGATTGGCTCAACATTGCTGCAAAGAAGTTTTATCTTCACAAAACCCAATTTGCTCAAGTTTAAAGAGCATCAGAGTAAATATCAGTTTTTCAATTAAAGTGACAGCATTGATTGCTCTGTCAGTTCCAGCTCACTGCCTGTGACAATTCCTTTGTGATGGAGATTGAATGACACCCTGAGGCTCATGGGAGTTGAGATGTCTCAGTGGAAAGAGTGAGAGTAGAGAGGCTGCTGGGTGATGGCCAAGGCACAGTGATTCTGTTGAAGAGCTAAAGGTCAGCTGAAGCAACAGCTTTGATTAAAATACATTTGAGTTATAAAAGGGTAGATCAATGAGACATGAGACATGAAGAAGGATGGCTTCTTCTCTTAATCTAACACCTTTACTGCTGTGTTGTCTTGTTGATAGTGTTTTTCACATCGGCTCACTATTGTATTGGTCACAATCGTTCAGAATGCAAGATAACAAATGCCAGTCTTTGAAATAATTTGCGTTATATTTTTTGAATATTTTTGTATTTACAATTAGCTCTTTCCAAGCACATCAGGGGTCTTCTGGGATCTTCAAATGTCTTAAATTAAATTGTTTGAAATGTAGGCCTAACAATGTCTATTGTAAATTAAATACTTAAATATAATAGAATAAATGCTCTGCAATAATCAAGGTTTGTCAAAAGGTTTGTTTTTCTTTAGCTAAAATCATAAAACCCTTGTACTTTTTAACATACTGTAGTCAATACATTCACACATAATTCTAGGAACTAGTTTCATTCATAGGCAGCTCATTTTACTTCTCACTTCTTCCAGCATGACCTCAAAATACAATTGGATATTACATTACATTCCAACTGGCTTCATAATATTAGCTTACTTACTCTTTATTTTGTAGGCTTTTTCATGGCATCTTTCAGTTAAATGCTATCTTGCCAGACATTCTGTGCCAATAACAGCACAGCACGTCTGCTCAATAGCACTACATTTTAAATCTCTATTATTATAACATATATAGCTTTTTCCAAATATTCTTAGGCTAGCGTCGACATTCACAATACTGCTTCTGCACTAGAGATAATATTTTCTGGGTCATGTTGTACACAGCTCAGAAAACAGTGTGGGTCAGTAAACTGGTCTGAAAACTGTAATGGTCAGAGATGCACGTCTGAAGAAGAGAGGCTCACTCACCCGGTGAAAACCAGACACAGTAAGGTGCAGATGAGGATGAACACCTGGTTGAACATGGCAGAGTGAGTCCTCTGGATGGCACGATGGAAGTCATTCTGGACAAAAGAAGAGAGTTCATTGTAACCATATCCAGACCAATGAGTGCAACATTTGAAATATTTCCAATCTAGATGACCAATTATAACATTGAGAAGTCATCAATACAATTTCAATCAAAACTTAAGTCAAACATTACTAGAAAAAGTGAGCTATTGTCTTGACGTTGAGGATAGACTGGATACAATTTAATATGTACAAAAATCTGCCATACATTGTTCAAACACAATCTTTATCCAACAACACTGTCCCCCCTTTTTATACCATATTGTACTTCCTGCTAAGCCATCTTGAAAGCTCATGAGCTCACGACTCATTTTCAGTTGCACCTTGTTAGCATGTTCTGCCTGCCACCGCCTCTCAGAATGTCCTTGCTTTCTCTCCATGTGCTGCGCTGCTTGGCCTCAGATTCTACCATCTGCCTAACTACCGCTTTGGCATGAGGCTCTTACTGTCATGGCCTCATCCGAATCACAGCAAGACGACACACTAGACCAGTTGGATATCATCAAATAGCTTTGAATTCTATGTACCAGTCACTTTGCACCTATGGTTAAACCTGGACAATAGTAACACTGAAACAGCAGGTTTATGTGCACCTGGCGTTTGTATCCCTGCTGTTCTTATGCTACAAATGTTAGGTGTTTTTTTCTGTTTGTTTCCCTCATGCACTTGACACTCTTTTTTTTAAATTAGGCTCCCCTGTTGTTTGCTCTGCTTCTGATTAAAAAAAGTGTTGTGGTCTCCCCTAAAAATAGTAAAATATATTTTTTCCAGACCCAAATATAACTGATCTCTGTCAGGGCAACATACTCTCATCTGACCTGGCAACACAGATCATTAGTGTGTCAAAATGTAAAAGCAAGGTTTACTAAGGTTCGCTCAATAGTTAGTTTGAATATCTAATGTTAACCCCAATCAGGAAACAGGATATACCATTTCATACAGTTGTTCTCACTTTGATATAGAACATATTTAGTAATAGTAGCTCTCTTTATATCCATACAGATACATAACTGAAAAAAATGCTTTTAATAAGGATGTGCCTCTGTTCCATCTAAAACTAATCACCCATAATAAACGCATTGGATTTAAAAAAAATCTTTATTTTTTATTTTTTTTTTACAAACAGTTCGCTTTGTTAACCTGAGAATGTAGTTGGTGTGATACCCAATAACTAGCCAGCAAGCTAACTTATCGAAGTAGCCAGCGCTAATGCAATATTACACATCTATGTATTTAACAACACTAGCTTCAAAAACATACATCGACACATTGGTGTCTCTTCATACAGCTTGATTGTATAATCCCATTTAGCGCTCATAGCCAGCTCTCTACTATAAGGGTATCCAATATGGCCGCCACAAGAAAGATAAGTACCATCGAAGCCCTCAGAAATAAAATACAAACAAACATGTTCTGTGTGCTCTCTTTTATGTAATACAGCACACAGTTTGCACAATATAAGAAACACATTATTGTGAATACTTACAATCATGTTCTCCAGGGCACCTTTGGCTAGCCAGCAGTTGAGAAATACAGGAACGAATATGTTTCTCAATGGACACCAGAAGATCTTTAGGAAGGAAGAAAGGTGTAACACATCAGTGGAATACAATCACAAATATGAATCATAATACAGGAAAGGCAATGAAAACAATTAATATGCCCTTGGATGAAAGATGGAACACATGAAACCAAAATGACCTTGATCATGCATTAGTAAATCCTTTACTGGACCATATTGATTGCCAAGGCGTTAAAATAAATAACTTACTGTGATTATAAATGGCACTGAATTGATCATCTCCAATATGAAGGAAATCTGGAAGATCTGCTCCCAAATGTTACCCTGGAAAGGAATGATGGAAAGTAATGCATTGAACCATGAGAGCGCAGATGGTTTTGGAGAGAAGTGTAATATCAGAAATAATGATGATAACAACACATTTAATTTCTAAGCGCTTTTTTTCCCAGGTGCTCAAAGAGATCACAATACCATGAAACAGGCAAGAGGACAACAGATTATTATGTTGAGTTGTAAATCCCACCAATTAAACATGCTTCTTTGATATTCATATTTTCAGTACTGATCCGAGTCTATAAAAGCAATAATGGAGAGGTCAGTCATTAATGTTGGGTCCAGAAACAACACTTCTCATTGACCTGTTTTTTTCCAAACAAGTGCTTGTTTTTATTGCATGACAATGGTGGAGAAACTTAATTATTATCACAATCTTTGTTATTAAAGATCACAACAAAATGTCTCCAGATACGACTTTGCAGAGCTCACTTTCAACATTAAAGTATGCTTAATGTTCTACTGTTGCTTTTATGTTCTCTGAAGTTAATTAGTTCCCTTGCATAACTGGAATATGAATTATGTAATTGGTAACGCTTAGTTCTAACAGCACTCTAAAAAAGCCAAGATCATACAACAAACAATAACATATGACTGACCCCAATCCACTGAGTGAGACTGACTACAAATCCCATATTGAGTGCACAGCAGAGTTTGAAATGAGCAGTTTGGTGGTGGCTTCTATGATAGAGCTATTAAAAAGCCTGGTAGGGAAAAATAAAAGCTTGAAACGTTTTACAAGGCTAAATTACATCATCAGGAAAAAAAACATGAGTCCCCAAACAGCCTTCTGTGAAAGGGAAAATAAAAGATATAAAAGCATCACAACATTAAGAATATGTCCAAGAGACACTACCAGTCTCAGAGCAGCACAGCAACGCAGCCTGGCTCCTGGCATAATGCAGTTCTGATCTTTCAAATGATAGCAAACTATGCTAGGGCTAGCTTCCTGTACAGTAGTTGTGCTAATGTTGACGTTAGTATGCTAAGGACATAGCATACCGCAAAGAGTTTTTCTCCTTAATATTACAGTTATACAAAATAAAGTGCGGTTTTATCTTTGTGGAGGTTGTGTGGTGTGGATGTGATTTAATACACTACACTTTGATTTATTAATGATAAATGAAGTGCTAATGCTAAATATACCAGAGCGGCATGTTAACATTATTTAGTAATATAGAATCGAGCTAGACGCACAGGATGTTAACTGTAATACATAATTGTTCCACAATGGATCTCAGTAACCGGATGTTCATTACGATAAAAGTCTGCTCTTTAAATACGTAGTATATACGCACCAAAGTGCACCTTAGAGGAATCTCATCAATTAAAACAGCACTTCCAGCCCTGCAAACTAACTAGTCCAAAATGATTGTAAAAGTCTTCTGGCCCTGTGTCTTGAACAGCTTGGCCTCGGCATTGGCACTTGGACTGGACATTAAGAGGTGTGGGCCGGTAAGAGAGAACAGACTGTGTGCCGGACTTCGATCCGACAGCTGTAAGACATCAGCTCGGATTAAAGAGCAAAACTGTCTACTGTGGATGGACCCTTACCTTGTAGCTGAGATATGTGATGAGCATGGTCTCCAAGAAACTGATTAAGGCCACTGTCACCTGCAGCAAAGGGGAGAAGGAGATTAATGAACCAGCAACTGCAAACTCATCTCTTCTGGCTGCTCGACCTAAATGCAAGGCTTTTAGCTAATACATGGCTGCTAGTGCGTTGGATTGAATCCTGCATTAAGCCTCATTTCATGCAGGGGAATTTGATTTATGTGCACTTTCACTGTTGTGTTATCCGCCTCACCTGTATCGCCCATACAGGTTCCCGTCTGGTAACCCAGAAAATCACACACCTGTCAAAAACCATAAGACGCTTTATGTCCAGGTAGACAATAAACTCACTTCAGTTTAGAATTAAATACCATTTTGATCGAAACATACCAGTTGATGTCTGCCGAGTCTGCTGTACTGTTATTCTGACATTTTGCACTGTAGAGAAAACAGGAACACAACAAAAAGAACGTGAGAATGTGTGTGTGGATGTGAGTGGAAACACACCCGCTGGGAAACACTCCCATCAGTTTGTATGTTTCAATAAAGAACAAACTCAACGTGTGTATAAAGGCTGCTGGCGGTAAGAGGAATACAAATAATCCACCTCTTTCAAATGACTGCACAGGGAGAACAACTCACCAACAAAAAAAATTCCTCAAGCAATCAAATTCACACAAGGGAATTCACGTTAATGTGGTTTTAGGAGTAAATCTCAAGTAAACGTCTCCCCCTTAGACATATTAGAAGTGTTGAAAACAAGATTTGCATATATATATATATATATATCGATGTTCTCTGGTCTCAAGATATCGTTCACATTTGTTGCTATTTGGACATGCCAGCTGGAAGATATTCCTGGAAAGATCCACTGGCATACGAAAAGTCATCTGGTTAGTTTGGAATAAGATAAAAGAGAAGAATGAATAAAAGGATACATAATAGAGATGGATTAGAAGATAGCAAAAGGAGCAAACACTGCTTCCTGAAGCAAGATATCATCACAATGTATAACTGCAAATCAGCAAATAAAAAGCAACTATCAAAACATGTTGACAGAAATGGTGTAGGAGTGTGACTCTCACCACGGGTCGCCGTTGACATCCTCGCGGTCATCCAGACTCACTCTCAGTACGTAGAGGGCACAGGTGAGGATCTTCAGTGAGAAGTTAAACAGGCGGATTCTCAGGCCTGTGGACCAAGACATATCATTGCATGTGACTCAAAAACTGATGTAAGTGATGATCGCCGGAAAATGAGCTTGTTTAAATATCCAGTGTTTTTGTCACAACTCTGTCATTGTGTTCCAACAGGAGACTACAGATGCAACTAGATTGTCACTGTTTTAAGTTTGCTTGCTTAAAAACGTCTTTAGTGAAAGGCCAAAAGAGACGGGATCTGTAGAAGCCCTGAAGCATTACTAATGTAGTTCTATGCTGCTCTGGCACCCTGTCACAACGAATTCCCTCTGACGTATATATAGCTTCTAAATCCTCCAAGAATAACACATAAAAACACCGGAAATGTATGGGCTTCTCATGAATAGGAAGATAAATCACTGGTGGGATTTCACAGAAGTTATAATGCTTGTGGAATCATAATCCTTTTTGAGTAATTAACTGATAAGCACACACCACTTAATGTGCAGAACTTGGCTGCAGACATGCTTGCTAGGCAGCGGAGGGGGTGCTAGTTGTATTAAACATTTCTCATCAGCCTCTGCAGCTACCTAATCTCTCGTGACACAACCTCTCCAGATGAGGCCAGAGTCAATGGTAAAATGATTTAGGTAAACAAACAGCAGAATTGCAATGGCATAGAGCAACAGACCCCTGCAGCCATGTGCGACATTTTCTTTAGAGCCTGTCGTTTTCTGTCAAAGACTGTGGCGGCTGAGCGACAATGACACGTTGAGGGGAAGACAGCAGTGTCAGTGCTCAGGATATGTCAACAACATGCTCTACCTGAGAGACCGTTCCTTTCATTCTATTTGAAAACTGGAGCATCTTTCAGACACAATGCACCAAGCTGCACCATTTTTTTTCTCAGATGTTATCTTATGTCCTATTGAGAAAAACACTGCAGTGCTGCCTCCTTTCTCAATAAATGAGCCACACTCTCTGTCCTTGCTGGGCCACAGTGCGCACACCTACATATACAATATATTACGACGAGGAAACTAATGTAATTAAGAAACTAAACTGAGGCAGGAACGTTATAATCACCGATAATCACCATCACCGACAGCAGTTTCCCCGATTGTATTAGTCAAGGAGAGGGAGTGTGATGTTCCCTGGTGGATGTACTTACTTGACCTTTGGTTTTTGATGAAGAAAAGCTTCAGCCTCTCCTTGAAGGTGTTTTCATTCACATAGAACTCCACCTGCACCCTGTTGGGGGGGGGGGGGGGGCAGTGATATGATGTTAGTGTTAGTCTACACAGATGGTGCATAGCATAAGCTGTTCATTATATACACAAAGAGAAGAGCAGAACACATTTGATCAAACAGTGTCAATCTTTCCATAGTGCTTTATGATCAGGTGTGAGACAAAGCAATGCATTTGCACAGGTATTGCTTTGTTCAGTAAATGTAACATGTGATCCAGGCACATTTACATGTTCGCATTCTGGGTACAGGACAATACCCACATTTCAGTACTGATACCAACATGACTAACTAATAACTGGTCTGAATGATATCATATAATACATATATTACACACATGTTACACAACCAATGCTATTCATTCATTTGTTTAGATAGCTTTTGCTCAACTTTTCGGGAATGTTTTCACCCATGCTCAATTTCGAAATAGCGTGAGATTGACCTATTTTTGGAATACAAAATTTCATTTTTTTGATAACAATAAATAACATATCACCCACGTCCTTCATCCAATCAATCTTACAAGAAATGTGTCATATAACGAGTCCAAAACGTTTGATTTGGAAAAGAACATATCTCCTCAAAGAATGAAAAACAACAATTTGACCAACCCTCAAAACTTTATTGTGTACAATATGTACTGAGATGTAAGCCACCTTACATCTCAGTACATATTGTACACAATAAAGTTTTGGGGTTAAAATCCCAGCATTTGATTGCATCCTGCAGTTTGACATGTATTTCTTGCAAATCCTGGCAAATCTTGAAAGAAACATTTGTAAAGATAGTTGTGCCAGTGCCATAATTGTGTTTGTTGAAGCTTTCCAGTAAAAACAACACCAACCATTTGCATTGTGGGAATGTACTGCAGAAAAGCTGTACAAGTCTTATTCCATTACCCTCCATTTACCGCCAGTAATTACGCTGTCTACAGTTCCCCTTCTCAATGCGACAACCAGCAACAGATGCCTATGATCTTGAATTTTAATGTGCAGCATTTGTAGTTGTTAAATATTTAAGATTATTACATGAGCCATATTTTCCCACACACATTCTCTTAATGTTCACTAGCTGCGAATCAAATGCACACTGTGGGGACATGACACATAAGCCAAGGTAAGGGTTTTAATTGCTCCCCTGGGACATTAATCACAAATGATCAATTAGTGCATGAAATGGGCACCGAGGAGGGTTTAATCATTTAGAATTGCTTGTAATATTAATATACATATTTGTACCAAACCAGAGTATTCTAGATGTTGTTTACAGTTTGGAAGAAAGTCAGTTTCCTTTGGGTAAAAACGTTTTCCTTCACTCAAATCATGACAGCATGATTATTATCACTTACATTAAAGCGTCCATTAACAATTGAAAATCACCTCCCATTTAAAATGATACTGTATTATATCCAAGGCTGTCTTTCTCACATTGAGCAGATATAATGACATTTAATTAAGCTTGGGAACTTGACCAAACGCCCACTTAGGCACGGAAGATGATGTAGCTGTAGGTCAAATGTAAGGTAGGCTTATTAAAACTTTCTATAATAGCGGCCTCTCAGGAAGTAACAGCGGCTTCTCAGTTTCAGGAAGGACCTTTACATCCTTCTTATTTGTCTGACACAATGAGATCAGGGTGCAAAGAAAGAGAGGAGAGAGCAGGGGGGGGGGCAATTACAGCAGCCAAGACCCAAGGGAGGTACGTATGTGTAGATAAAGAGAGTAGGTGGAAGTAAGAACATTAGATATGCACCATCTTCCAGCTAATCCCCTCCTTTCCTGCTTCATCGCCATGGAGACAGCTTCTAAGGCAGGAAATGTTTTTCCAGTACAACAAACTGGCTAAGCACACACACACACACACACACACACACACACACACACACACACACACACACACACACACACACACACACACACACACACACACACACACACACACACACACACACACACACACACACACACACACACACACACACACACACACACACACACACACACACACACACACACACACACACACACACACACACACACACACACCCACCACACACACACACACACACACACACACACACACACACACACACACACACACACACACACACACACACACACACACACACACACACACACACACACCATTGCAAACCCCCATCCCCATGACTCCATCCAACCTAAACACACTCTGCGATATGGCGACCGCGTAAACCAAGTGTATCGACTGGTGCGTCACCCGAGAAGCAGTAAAAGACTGTCATGAACGCTGGTGGTGGAGAATCAATATTGTTTGTTGTCTCCATTGGAATAGCAGTCACAACAGACACAACAGCTGCACAGGATTCATGTTTACACAGCTTTCCTACAGTCATCTATAATTACACGTCAAACCTGAAAACAGCAAAACCTGACATGTGACCACAAGATAACCTCAGTGACAAAATCCGTATTGTGTTGTTTAACATGGGAATTGCGTTGGCTTGACAACACAACGATAACAAGCCTAGGCATCAGTGGCATGTAGCCTCTTTTATGAATATTTAAAGTGAGGGTTTCCCTGCTTATCTTATTGTGAGGTAAGACACACCAAAGCATTTGTTAATATCTCTTCTCTTGTGCCGGCTTTTACAATTTAAAAACATGAAATATGAGGTTAAAGTGCTGACGTTTAACTCAGTTTGAGGCTGTTTTTATCCAGACAGGGTGAACTGTATGTGTTGAATTAGAACACCTTGAACCATGCTAGCAGGTTTTTTTTTAGCTCCTCTAGCTTTGCTGTTTGTTTAAGATAAATGTTTGAACTTTAACGACGCCACTGTCGCCCATAGGAGGATAGGAACCCTCAAACTCTTAAAGCTTGTGGTCTCTAATATGACATCTTGTCCTTTGATATCGAATTAGAGCCAAAAGAAGAAATGGTGTCCCAGTCAGACACCTGAAGACCAAAGTGTTAGTGTTATAGCCTTTGACCACAAATGAAAAGCTGAGCCTTTTACTTGTTTTCGTTCATGCAATTAACAAGCACTAGAACTTAAATGGTTAAATAAGTCTCTATCAGGCACAGGGCCTTTGTAATGATTCTAAGTAGCCTCACTACATAGTGCACTTGTTTCCCGCTTGTCGACTGCCAGTCACTACAGCAGACCCAGGGCAATACCTTTTAAGAACTTACCCTCTTTTCTTTGGCATCTCTGTAGTCTGTACACCAACACCCCCAATATATGGATATTAGCCAGCCTTGGCAAACAGCCTATAAACACGAGCAGTTTGAATATCCACGAAGCCAGCAGGCAGCTTGTAATTAAGATACACTCCCTTTACTTCCCTTAAGTGTAAAAATGGTAGGCAGAGAATAAGCCAGGGATATTTAACATAGTCACAATAGCTTGAGAAATCTCCTCTACTGGAAAGTGGCCTTGGTAGAGACTTTAATATGCCAGCCATTCAGAATATGTGACAGGGACTAGTGTGGAGGAGCAAAAGTGTAACCTCAGAGATTTAGACTTGTGATCAAGCGTATTAAAGTTGTACACACGCAAACACCCAGAGTACGCCATGACAATTTGCAGTGATAGGATTACATGTGTACACACCCTTGCCTGCAACACAGAGGGACTACAACTGCTTTGTCGACGCTAAATAAACATCGAACAGCTTGTTGACCTCGGGATAATCTGTCCGACAGAACAGAGCTCATGAAACACCTGCGTTAATTCTAGTGATGGAAAATATGTATGTAAATTGTAGCAGCCGACAGATGCTATTTGCCATATGGAATATTGGAGCTGCAGGGGCAAGCATAGTACATAAGTACACAGCCGAAAAGAATCCGCCCCTTCCTTCAGACTTCCTTACAGAGCACCTTCTCCAACACACATGAACGCTCACATGACGTCAGCAGACTGGTGAAAGTGGCCGCCTGTTGCTGGCGAGTCATTGAAGTACTGCTGCAATGCACGCCCAATGAGGGCACGCCCAATGAGGGCACGAGATACATTTGTGCGTGCACGAGATGGAAGGCTGACAGACAGGGCAGCTTTTTACAGTATTACGGCTTCCACAGATGACATTTTTTCATGGATTTTTTGTCAAAGCACTTAAGATATTCATTGCTATCGGGATGTTAAGAGCATTCCATGGAATATAACAAAAAGTGTATCTCGAGCCGGTTTCTGAAACTTACCTACCCCACCTTTAAGCTATATCAATAGCACCTGAGGGTGAAATATCACGGAGACTCTTAAAGGAAGCGATAACACATTAAACCTGATGATGCCGTCTCCAATTAAACCAGCATTCTCTACCATTGATCTTTAAGTGGTCATCCCTGTAGAGGGCATTACATAATGTACAATCAAAATAAAGTATCCATTGTCTAATCAACTTTATTACCACAAGTGTTGGCATAGCAACACATATGGAAGTTATCAGCCAAGGTATCTGCAACCAATCAGAGGGAAACAACGCACTTTATCAAGGTTTATAAGATCCAGTATTTAGGGCATATCATTACTACATAGAGCAATAATACAAGGCCTTGTGTTGTAAACAGTACAACAGCAGTGTTTCCTATCACAGGCTATACATATAATGATAAATAATAAATACAGTTTATTTACAGATCTCAGGTTTGCTCTGTCCCCTCTCTGCAGAAGCAACCAGTCTCTGCACCAGCTTGAGAAATGCGCCTGTTACAAAGCCTGCAACGGTTCTAAAAATATTACACTCTGATATGAAAATTAAAAGCGTCAGAGTCCTTTGTAAGCATCTGCCTCTGGTTCACAAAGCTGCATCTCAAAAATGTAAGCCATGGCAAAGGTACTTGTCCAATAGCCTAATTACAGGGCAAAAATAGAAATGGGCTCTCATTGCTACTGTGAAAGTATTTTGCAAATCTCTAGAGGAAAACAGTTTCTGTTCAAATATGTGAAAGAGCAACCACAGGACATGTTCTGGTGGTCTGTTTGGCCTCCATACCCTGTGTGTGCTGCTCTTCTGTAT